GGAAAGTTCAACCCCATGTCAAAGTCATTTTCATGTATTTCAATTACCCCCAAAATGAGTGTGTTGTGTTCCAACTCGATGACCCTGTGTGAGTCCCAAAAGGGATCCTATTACCTTTATAGTGCACTAGAGTCCATTATAGTGCACTAGAGTCCATTATAGTGCACTAGTGTCCATTATAGTGCACTAGTGTTGACCAGGGCCCTATGGGAATAGGCTGCCTTTTGGGACACAGGCTACACAGTCTCAGTGTTTCAGCTGCAGTAGAAAGAATGTGAAATAGAGTGATGTCTTAGTTCTAAATGACCTAGCCTTAATCATGGGGACACCCTTGGCTCTGCATACTCACTATAGATTAAGGAAATCCTACAACCCTTAAGTAGGAAATGCATAAACCTCATCAGATAGGAGATGATTGTGGACTACAGGAAAAAAAAAGAGGACTGAGCACGCCCCCATTCTCATCGACGGGGCTGTAGTGGAACAGGTTGAGAGCTTCAAGTTCCTTGGTGTACACATCACCAACAAACTATCATGGTCCAAACACACCAAGACAGACGTGAAGAGGGCACGACAAAGCTATTCCCCCTCAGGAGACTGAAAAGATTTGGCATGGGTCCTCAGATACTCAAAAAGTTCTACAGCTGCACCATCGAGAGCATCCTGACTGGTTGCATCACCGCCTTGTATGGCAACTGCTCGGCCTCCGACCACAAGGCACTACAGAGGGTAGTGCGTACGGCCCAGTACATCACTGGGGCCAAGCTTCCTGCCATCCAGGACCTCTATACCAGGCGGTGTCAGAGGAAGACCCTCAAAATTGTCAAAGACTCCAGCCATCCTAGTCATAGACTGTTCTCTCTGCTACCACACGGCAAGTGGTACCGGAGTGCCAAGTCTAGGTCAAAAAGGCTTCTCAACAGCTTCTACCCCCAAGCCATAAGACTCCTGAACAGCTAATCATGGCTACCCGGACTATTTGCACTGCCCCCCCACACCCCACCCCCATCTTTTACGCTGCTGCTACTCTGTTTATTATTTATGCATAGTCACTTTAACTCTACCCACATGTACATATTACCTCAATTACCTCGACTAGCCGGTGCCCCCGCACATTGACTCTGCACCGGTACCCCCCTGTATATAGCCTCCCTACTGTTATTTTATTTTACTGTTGCTCTTTAGTTATTTGCTTTTATTTTTTTTACTTAACACTTTTTCTTTTTTTTTCTTTAATAAATGCATTGTTGGTTAAGGGCTGTAAGTAAGCATTTCACTGTAATGTCTACACCTGTTGTATTCGGCGCATGTGGCAAATACAATTTGATTTGATGAGAAGTATTAACTTACAGTCTGCTGAGGCCCCCTCCCTTGTACAGAACATTGAGCCTCTGAGATTTCTCAACCCTCAGTCAACCATCTAAATCAGTGGTCACCAATCTTGTCGGATCACCAAACATTTCTGTAGAAAAGCCAACAAAAAAGGCTTGCGCTCCTTTAAAAATAAAAAGATCAGAAGCCCTGCGCACCGGGGTAGTCAAAGTGTTCCCGTTTTGAACAATTTCATTTGTCTTTAAAGACAAACTCTGCCTACCTGTCGGACCGGGAGATCTGTGGCTAAATGGAGTGCGCCTATTGCGCTGGCAAATCCGATAGCTCAAATCACGGGTCACTACAGTTTCTATAACCCCGGCCACAGCAACATTTCATACTAGCCTACGTGAGATTCATAACTTTTAAAACCTTGACCAGAGAGAAAGAGACTGTCAAAGAATACAGCAAAGAGCTGCTGTTATTATGAGTGAGTTTCTAAGTTTTTATTCAGCACTGTCAATACTGTTTTTATTCAACACTATTACAAAACATAAAACATGCTTATCGCTACTTCCACTGGTGCTCCAATGAATGAGTAGCCAAGTGTATCGATAGCCCTGCGTTTTTATTGTTATTAGCAGCTCGTCGTGTCTACTAATGTAGATGAATATTTCACTTTCTCGGGTCCTAGGAACAACATTAATTTGTGCATGAGACGGATGCGGTGCTACTCGAGTTTCGCCATCAGGTGGAAGACGGTGTCCCCTCGCTCTGGTCAGTCTCACCGGAGGAAAGGAATTGAGAGAGCAGCCAGGGCCAGTGAGAGGCGGACCCTCTGCTGCTCTCTCCCTCCCTCGGCTGAGACTAATGCCGTGTTCAAAACAACTGGGAACTTGGAACTACTGGGAACTTGGAAATCTCCGACTTCAGTGCGTTCATGACAACTGGGAACTCAGGGAAAAAAATGACATTGAAATTAGAGAGAGAAATTACCATGGAGCTGTGTCTCTGAGTAGGCTTAATGTGAGAAAAATATCTGGTCTCTTCACAAAGGGAAATTGTTTTGTAAAGTTATACATGTTTGAAGGAGAAGGTAGTTTTATTCTACCAATATGATAATGCATTGTTGAGCATTATTGTCGCTAATATGGGAAGTTACTGTGACGTCATCAAATTGCGTCTCCTTGTGGTCACTGCTGGCGTTGCATGTACATGTGGGGGTTTAGGACCTTCTAACAACAACGTCATAGATGTCAATCCGGCAGCATCAGGGTATTACAAATACAAGTATTTTAAATAAATACTGACAACATATACTTGTTAATATAAGACCATGTTTTATTCATGGTGTCTTTACAGTGTTGAAAACAAAATGGGAATACAACATGATTTAAAATCTCTCACAGAGAAACAACTTAAAAAAACATGGGGTTCATACACTCCACATTGATACAAAAAATAATACACACAAAAATACATTCATGTGAACTCATTGGACTAGCACATACATACACAGCATGATGTCATGATAATCCCTAAGGTTGCGAAAATTCTGGTAATTTTTTCAAAAAATTCCCTGGTTTTCCAGAAATCCTGGTTGGAGAATTCCCCGGATTTCCTACTTATTCCCTCCTGGTCCAGGAATCTTCCAACCAGGGTTTCTGGAACTTTCACAACAGACCGCAAAAGGAACTGTGACCCACCACAGTCTCCATACCTATGAGCTCCCATTCTGCACATACAAACTGGAAATTCTTGATTTTTTCTCCCCAAACCCATGCGCACTAACCACTACAAGAAAGCGATGGACATCCTTTCCACACAAAAAATACTTAATTGGTCAACAATTACACAACCACAGACTAAGGCCTAATGCATGATTCCAATGTTGCACTCAGGCTTTTGAGGACACACATTACCGACCGATAACGCTATCCCAGTTTTTTTTTTCTTCTTCTGTTCTCTTATAGAAATGTGTTAACAAATTGTTACTTTGAAAGTCAACAGTAATGTTGGTTTTGTACCTGGGTGTAGAACCACAGTATTTGTTGTTTTTGTGTGTAACCAACAGTCACGTTGCGTTACAGGATCAACCTTGTTCACTGCCAACCTGCTATTACTGTTGGTCTAATATGACTGAGCAGTAGAATATGTTAAGCCTATAGATGAACTATATGACTGAGCAGTAGAACATGTTAAGCCTATAGATGAACTATATGACTGAGCAGTAGAACATGTTAAGCCTATAGATGAACTATATGACTGAGCAGTAGAATATGTTAAGCCTATAGATTAACTATATGACTGAGCAGTAGAATATGTTAAGCCTATAGATGAACTATATGACTGAGCAGTAGAATATGTTAAGCCTATAGATGTACTATATATAAAAACTACTAATGTGGAATAATGCTTTCTGTACTACACGCAGGCCTAAACAACACACTTGTATCATGACAGGCCTGCATTTTCTGTACTGTTGGGCTATATACAGTCAGATTAGATACCACATTCTGTACTGTTGGGCTATATACAGTCAGATTAGATACCACATTCTGGACTGTTGGGCTATATACAGTCAGATTAGATACCACATTCTGGACTGTTGGGCTATATACAGTCAGATTAGATACCACATTCATGTGTTGGGCTATATACAGTCAGATTAGATACCACATTATGTACTGTTGGGCTATATACAGTCAGATTAGATACCACATTCTGTACTGTTGGGCTATATACAGTCAGATTAGATACCACATTCATGTGTTGGGCTATATACAGTCAGAATAGATAACCACATTTATGTACTGTTGGGCTATATACAGTCAGATTAGATACCACATTATGTACTGTTGGGCTATATACAGTCAGATTAGATACCACATTCTGGACTGTTGGGCTATATACAGTCAGATTAGATACCACATTCTGGACTGTTGGGCTATATACAGTCAGATTAGATACCACATTTATGTGTTGGGCTATATACAGTCAGATTAGATACCACATTCTGGACTGTTGGGCTATATACAGTCAGATTAGATACCACATTTATGTGTTGGGCTATATACAGTCAGATTAGATACCACATTATGTACTGTTGGGCTATATACAGTCGGATTAGATACCACATTCTGTACTGTTGGGCTATATACAGTCAGATTAGATACCACATGATGTACTGTTGGGCTATATACAGTCAGATTAGATAACACATTCTGTACTGTTGGGCTATATACAGTCAGATTAGATAACACATTTATGTGTTGGGATATATATATAGCCAGATTAGATACTACATTTATGTGTCGGACTCAAAATACTGTTTACAACCGAATACCACCAACCGTTACAATTCCGATAAATGTTTTTTGAGATCAAAGTCAGAATACTTCCACACTATGCACTATTTACACAATTGGCTATATTAACATTTACATAATTTAGCAGACGCTCTTATCCAGAGCGACTTACAAATTGGTATCAGGTGATAAAAGTTATATTGAATAGACAACCTGTTTTACTCCAAACACGTGTAATAGTTGATTTATTCATTTATGGATTCCTTCTTACTGTTAGGATCCAGTCGCTTTCATTATTCTGTCACATATGACTCCCATCCCAAACGGCACCCTATTCCCTATGTAGTGCACTACTTTTGTCCAGGGCCCATAGGCATGGGGTGCCATTTGAGACGCAGTCCATATGACTGGATGGTGAGGTCACACATAGAAACTGTATTACTCCATGCAACATCTTTATGGTTATATGGTTGTTATTATTGTATGAAATTGAGATGTTATCTGCATGAAATGCAGGCATATCAATTCTTATAGTAATTGGTTTTATGTAAAGCCAATCTCTTTATACGGCCAGTCTCTCTTGGCCAGTCTCTCTCTGTCAGAGAGTGTTGCGTGACCTTGTTACATCGTCATAGGCATATTCATTCTTCTAGGAATTGGTTTTATACAAAGCCAGTCCTCTCTCCATCGGAGAGTGGTCGTGATGAGTGAGTTTGATATTGCTGCAACATTTAGTACAGCACATATTTGTGGCGAGTGGCCTCGTTCAGATAGTCATCCTGTAATACTGTTCAACCCTGACGAACAAAAGGTGAGTGACTCTTTCATTTACTCTACTGAACGTTAAGCCCACTTAGACGCCAATGAATCACATTTTATGGAGACGTTCTAAGAATTCACTGTATAGAACATAATTAATTCACTTCATAGAATGTTCAAGACTCAAATATTTCGTAGAACGTTGCAGTCTCTCCCTGAAAGACCTCTGATAGGGAGAACTGTATCTGTAACTATCGCTTAGTTTCACTGGGTTCCAGACTAGAACACTCTGAAACATTCTAGAACATGACCTCCTCACAGCTTCCATAGTCGCTCTCCACCATGTCAGAACCGTTGTAGCAGCGAGAGTTCCGTCCTGCATGCCCAGCCTGCTGGGGTAGAGGGGGAGGAGGAGGGGAGTTACAGTCAGCATAGGACGGCATGGCAACACTGAGGCGCATGCTGAGGCGCCGGTAGCCTGACGACACATTGTCCATGCTGTGCGCATGTTGCGTCGGATAGTAACTGATGGCAGTGTACTCGTTGGGGCACTGAGAGCTGGGCAAGGGAAGACCGTCAGGCCCCAGGAAGTCATCCAGGTTCTGGTTACTGTAGCAGGGGGGTAAGGGAGCGCGGCGGTCAGAGCGCTCCAGGGGAAACGGGAATCCGCCGAAGCGAGAGTTTCTACGTGAGTCTATTGATGCGGTCACAGAGCCATAGGTGTCCTCCACGATGTCGAACTGGGGAAACTCCTGGACCTGGGGGTACTCTTGGACCAAGGGGGTGGGTCGACCGTAGTAGTCAGGATCAGCAGGGTAGACTGCATGGCAGGGAGAAGAGAGAGATACACTCATTATCATTCACTATAGTCCTTCAGTATAATCGCCTTTAAGAGGATCTTCATACTAATGTCCAAAGTGTCCTTGTCGTTTTATAAAAGTCCTAAATCTCATTATAGGTAAGGTGTTATAACCTTTGAGTGATGAAAAACCTATTAAAATTCAACACCATGACACTTATCGTCTGCAGGAACTGCCTGCCTGACCAGACTATTGCTCACCACCACATGCTCTGTATGTTTCACAACTGATCATGGATTACATTCATGTATGGATGAGTAACCTCCATTATTTTGATCTAAAGGACAAAGTGAGAAGGAGGATAATATGTATAATGCTTTGCTATATCCTCCTCATCTCCAGATCATTCACCTTCAGACACTTTACCTCTTGGGTGTCTCATCGGTCATGTCAATGAAATGCGGTCACTTGTTGTTGGATAAAGTGAAGACAGGCCCGGCAGGTCGAGTAAACTACTACCACAGTTATTACCACAGCTACTACCACAGCTATTACCACAGCTATTACCACAGTTATCACCACAGCTTTTACCACAGCTATTACCACAGTTATCACCACAGCTTTTACCACAGCTATTACCACAGTTATCACCACAGCTATTACCACAGCTATTACCACAGTTATCACCACAGCTTTTACCACAGCTATTACCACAGTTATCACCACAGCTTTTACCACAGCTTTTACCACAGCTTTTACCACAGTTGTCAGTAAAGTAAAAACTCAGACAGTTATCTTAAAGTATCTACTCCAAGTTCCCCTCTGGGGATTATGAACGTTTATTCAATTAACTCACCTTCATAGTCCTGATCCCAGTGGTGTTTCCTGTTGGACTCATTGTCAGATCTGGATGAAGGTGGAGGAGGGAGGTTGGGGGCCACACTACACACCACAGGCCCTTGTGGCTTCTGGTTCCCGGCCCTTAGGCTTACCTGGGACCCCAGCCCCACGTCTATCTGGCTGCAAGGCCTCAGAGATCTGAAGGGACTGTGTATGTTATCCAGGTCGTTACCAGAACCCATCAGCGTGTTCATCTCTATTGGGCTGACTTTTGGAGTGTTGGCCATCATGGATTTGGCCAGACTGGGTTGGAAGTAACCGTTGGAGTCCTGAACACAGACAGGCTTCTTCTTCTGTTGGACATAGCGTTTGCGGACGCAGACGAAGACACCGACCAGGAAGAAAACCCCCGTCAAGCTGGCACAGATCTCCACTATCTCGATGTAGCCCAGCCCGGCGGACACCTGTATTGATGAGGAGACAGGACACCTTTTGGTTAGCTTTACTCAGGGCCAACTAAGAGAGAGATTTGTTTGGGTTGTGGGCCCCCTAGAGGCCGGGGGCCCTAAGTGACCGATTTTGTCATTTATGCCTGGAGCCGGCCCTCCAGGGGTGAAGTTTCCTGTAGGTACAGGTCTAGGATCAGCCTCCCCTCCCCCAATCCTAACCTTTACCATTAGTGGGGAAAATGCAAAACTGACCCAAGATCAGCATCTAGGGCAACTTCACCCTACTCCTACTTAAACCAGATATGTTACACAGAGCGTTACGGGTACTGCAGTTTAGCATGGTACAATACCTGGGGCAGAGGGTCGCAGTGGATGGAGCCCCCAGAGAAGGTACAGTCGTACCCCCCTGGACACGGGTTGGGGGAGCATCCGTCGATTAGGCTCTGACACCTAAAGAAGAAGAATACTTTATTGTCCATTATCTTGCAGAGAACGGAAAGGAGGCTTTTTGTTTTCAGTATAATTCACTCAAGGAAGGAAGGAGGACAAGCAACAGATTTAGGCTGAATCAGTTTGGGGACATTGAAATGTACAAAATGCTATTCTCCAGCCCCTGAGCCAATCCGACTTGGATTACAGCACGAATAACATTTTCCATGACTCAGAACAACTGTACTATATGGTAGGTGGGGAGATCTTAAAGAATCAGAACAACTGTACTATATGGTAGGTGGGGAGGTCTTAAAGAATCAGAACAACTGTACTATATGGTAGGTGGGGAGGTCTTAAAGAATCAGAACAACTGTACTATATGGTAGGTGGGGAGGTCTTAAAGAATCAGAACAACTGTACTATATGGTAGGTGGGGAGGTCTTAAAGAATCAGAACAACTGTACTATATGGTAGGTGGGGAGATCTTAAAGAATCAGAACAACTGTACTATATGGTAGGTGGGGAGATCTTAAAGAATCAGAACAACTGTACTATATGGTAGGTGGGGAGGTCTTAAAGAATCAGAACAACTGTACTATATGGTAGGTGGGGAGGTCTTAAAGAATCAGAACAACTGTACTATATGGTAGGTGGGGAGGTCTTAAAGAATCAGAACAACTGTACTATATGGTAGGTGGGGAGGTCTTAAAGAATCAGAACAACTGTACTATATGGTAGGTGGGGAGATCTTAAAGAATCAGAACAACTGTACTATATGGTAGGTGGGGAGGTCTTAAAGAATCAGAACAACTGTACTATATGGTAGGTGGGGAGGTCTTAAAGAATCAGAACAACTGTACTATATGGTAGGTGGGGAGGTCTTAAAGAATCAGAACAACTGTACTATATGGTAGGTGGGGAGGTCTTAAAGAATCAGAACAACTGTACTATATGGTAGGTGGGGAGGTCTTAAAGAATCAGAACAACTGTACTATATGGTAGGTGGGGAGATCTTAAAGAATCAGAACAACTGTACTATATGGTAGGTGGGGAGATCTTAAAGAATCAGAACAACTGTACTATATGGTAGGTGGGGAGGTCTTAAAGAATCAGAACAACTGTACTATATGGTAGGTGGGGAGATCTTAAAGAATCAGAACAACTGTACTATATGGTAGGTGGGGAGGTCTTAAAGAATCAGAACAACTGTACTATATGGTAGGTGGGGAGGTCTTAAAGAATCAGAACAACTGTACTATATGGTAGGTGGGGAGGTCTTAAAGAATCAGAACAACTGTACTATATGGTAGGTGGGGAGGTCTTAAAGAATCAGAACAACTGTACTATATGGTAGGTGGGGAGGTCTTAAAGAATCAGAACAACTGTACTATATGGTAGGTGGGGAGGTCTTAAAGAATCAGAACAACTGTACTATATGGTAGGTGGGGAGGTCTTAAAGAATCAGAACAACTGTACTATATGGTAGGTGGGGAGATCTTAAAGAGAAACGTGAACACCATCATTAATAAAAGGTGGTATTAGGAGCAGAATATTGTGTGGGCCTTTTTGTCCTAAACATGTGAACATTAATCGTCATCGGAGCAGTGTGTGGGGGGGGGGAAACTAACAGTGTGTTAGTACGGAGGCTGCAGGAATGGGAGGGATAGCTATGTGAGAGATAGGCACACCTGCTTCCAGTCATATGCAGTTGGCAGTTGCAGATGTAACCTTGACTCTTTGGCATGCACACCCCACCGTGGGCGCAGGGCTGTGAGACACAGGGGTTGTTGTCCAGCTCACAGCGGGGACCATGGAATGGCTCTGGACAGCTGCAGCGGAACCCTGGAGGGTAAACAAACATATAAACAGGAAGTGCGATCAGCCTACTGAAGATGGTCAAAGTTCTAGAACTCCATGAAAGTTCTCTTACTCTCTTAGTAACAGCAGAGGGATTCTAATGAAGGATAGGATACAAACTATTTCAAAAAGTGGAATATAGGGTAGAGAGTTTTGTAAAGAAAGTTTGGTTACATCCAGTTGTCGTGGGGCCTGGTTAATTACTCTATTTGAACTTCCCTGAAGAACAATTGTGATAATATTTTATAGACTATAGGACACCTCCAATCTGTTCAGACACTGTAGTTTGTTGAACACTGTATTCTCATATTGGTGATTGAATGTCCACCCTCGCAGAGGGAAAAATCAGTTGTTGTTGAAGGGATGCTAGACAATGTAGCATAAGTATACTATAGGTACATCTCCGAACAAATATCAATAAAACATTTTCTCTAAACCTGTAGGCTTTGTTGCTACGTGTTGTTCGCAATAAACAGCATATTATTCACATGCTACGTGTTGTTCCCAACACGCAGCATATTATACACATACTACATGTTGTTCCCAACACGCAGCATATTATTCACATACTACATGTTGTTCCCAACACGCAGCATATTATTCACATACTACATGTTGTTCCCAACACGCAGCATATTATTCACATACTACATGTTGTTCCCAACACGCAGCATATTATTCACATACTACATGTTGTTCCCAACACGCAGCATATTATTCACATACTACATGTTGTTCCCAACACGCAGCATATTATTCACATACTACATGTTGTTCCCAACACGCAGCAAATTATTCACATACTACATGTTGTTCCCAACACGCAGCAAATTATTCACATACTACATGTTGTTCCCAACACGCAGCATATTATTCACAGCCTGTTGTTTGCCTTCATATCCACCTCACCAAAGCAGAGAGAATAGATTATGGTTCACAGAGCCCCAAAATCTCACAATGACATTGCAAAACATTTGAGAACATTTCCTCTACATTTTTAAAATATTTGGATTGCAATGTATTGGGCAGAATGGTAAACACAGGCCTCCGAACTTCCTTAGAGAGAATCCTTTGCATTTCCTGTTCCATATAGCTTGAAGTTTCATTAAGTGTATGATACAATGGTAAACACGTCCAGATGTGAGGATGAAACGTTGTCCTCTCTCTCACCCCCTACACTATACTATATGATTACATACCTTTACCATGTGATACCGGTGACTTCATTACCGCACAAATCATGAGTTGCTGACACGGTTAACTTAACCCTGACCTTGAATGTTGTGGGTAGAGGCTTACAGTATGCTATTTGTGTTGTGGGTAGAGGCTTACAGTATGCTATTTGTGTTGTGGGTAGAGGCTTACAGTATGCTATTTGTGTTGTGGGTAGAGGCTTACAGTATGCTATTTGTGTTGTTTGTAGAGGTTGACACTATTGGGGAGTGATACAGTATGCCATGGTTACGAAACTGACCTCCATTTGATTCCTCCTCACAGGTTCCTCCATTCAGACAGGGGTTACTGGCACAGCTGTTCATCCTGACCTGGTTGACGCAGCACTGGTAGACCCCAAACACCCTCCTCCTCCCAGGCCCATTCCAATCCTTATCCTCCGCTGTCCTGATGGGCTCCCCATTCAGCTCCATACCGTCCAGGCAGCCTGCCAAGCCTTGTGCCTGGGTCTGGGTCCTGGCCTGGGTCTCTCTAGAGGTGGTGGTGGTGGGAGAAGAACCAGGGCTAGGGGGGCCAGCGAGGATCAGAGTCCCATGGGGCTGCATCAGATGGCAGGGTTCAGAGAGGACGATCTGGGCTGAGTGAATGTGGTCCAGGGTGAGTCTGAGGATGGTGCCGTTGACCTCCAGAAGGACGTGGTGCCACCGCCCGTCTGACACCACCGGGGCTGTGTGGATACGCAGGGAACCCGGGAGCGTGTTGCCACAAAGGTACATGAACCTCAACTCTCCACCCATCAGCTGTGAAAGATAATAGAACACTGTTCATATACACGCTGGTACAACTATCCATCAGCTGTGAAAGATAATAGAACAGTGTTCACTGTTGGTAAACTTGTATAGAGACAGTGGAAGAGAACACAACGCATCAGCCACAATGTAGTTTGATGCATTTGGCAGATCATTTGTGTAAACTGGAAATAATAGAGGTCTAAGAATCCATCCCTGTGGAACACCACATTTGATTTTAGGGGTTGCATTTTTTATTGACCTGCGGATTAAGAAGACAGGCAGCTTGTTAATATTGTGTGGGAAGAGTACATCTCTTAGTTTCTTCACCATGGATGATGTAATGTGAAGTGGTTTGTGGGCTGAAAGTAGTTAGAGAAGCATCAGTTCTTCCGAGAACTGGTGGAAGCAACTCCTTCAACCTTTAGTTTTGGAATGCAAGGTCATTTCAAACATCAAGACCCTCCACGGCATCATCCAACCCGACATTATCGCCATCTCAGCTGTTCCAACCCGATATTATCGCCATCTCAGCTGTTCCAACCCGACATTATCGCCATCTCAGCTGTTCCAACCCGACATTATCGCCATCTCAGCTGTTCCAACCCGACATTATCGCCATCTCAGCTGTTCCAACCCGACATTATCGCCATCTCAGCTGTTCCAACCCGACATTATCGCCATCTCAGCTGTTCCAACCCGACATTATCGCCCTCTCAGCTGTTCCAACCCGACATTATCGCCATCTCAGCTGTTCCAACCCGACATTATCGCCATCTCAGCTGTTCCAACCCGACATTATTGCCATCTCAGCTGTTCCAACGCGACATTATCACCATCTCAGCTGTTCCAACCCGACATTATCGCCATCTCAGCTGTTCCAACCCGACATTATCGCCATCTCAGCTGTTCCAACCCGACATTATCACCATCTCAGCTGTTCCAACCTGATATTATCGCCATCTCAGCTGTTCCAACCCGATATTATCGCCATCTCAGCTGTTCCAACCCGACATTATCGCCATCTCCAACAGTTCCGGTGGCATGCATTGAAACATGTATCTTTCGGGGATTCCCGAGTGGCGCAGCGGTCTAAAGTACTGCATCGCAATGCTTGAGGCATCACTACAGACCCGGGTTTGATCCCAGGCTGTGTCACTACCGGCTGTGACCGGGAGTCCCATAGGGCGGCACAAAATTGGCTCAGCATCGTCCGGGCTAGGGGAGGGTTTGGCCGGGGGCGCTCTAGCGACTCCTTGTGGCGGGCTGGGCACCTGCAGGCTGACTTCGGTGTGTTTCCTCCGAAACATTGGTGCGGCTGGCTTCTGGGTTAAGCGGGTGGGTGTTAAGATACGCGGTTTGGCGGGTCATGTTTTGGGGGACGCATGACTCGACCTTTGCCTCGCCCCGAGCCCTTTGGGGAGTTGCAGCGATGAGACAAGATTGTAATTGGATCGCAATTGGATATCACGAAATTGGGGAGATTTTTTTAAATAAGAAACACATTCTTTCTCGTGGCTTCTTTTGCAAAATAAAAAAAAAGGTTTCCTCATTAATCTACACACAATAGCCTATAATGACAAAGCAAAAATAGGTTTTTAGAAATTGTTGCAAATAAGTTGTACAAAAATACTGAAATATCACATTGACATGAGTATTCAGACCCTTTACTCAGTCCTTTGTTGAAGCACCTTTGGCAGCGATTGCAGGCTTGAGACTTCTTGAGTATGACGCTACAGGCTTGGCACACCTGTATTTGGGGAGTTTCTCCCATTCTTCTCTGCAGATCCTCTCAAACTCTGTCAGGTTGGATGGGGAGCGTCGCTGCACAGCTATTTTCAGGTCTCTCCAGAGATGTTCGAACAGGTTCATGTCAGGTTCATGTCCGGGCTCTGGCTGGGCCACTCAAGGACATTCAGAGACTTGTCCCGAAACCACTCCTGCGTTGTCTTGGCTGTGTGCTTAGGGTTGTTGTCCTGTTGGAAGGTGAACCGTCGCCCCAGTCTGAGGTCCTGAGCGCTCTGGAGCAGGTTTTCATCAAGGATCTCTCTGTACTTTGCTCCGTTCTTTCCCTCTATCTTGACAAGTCTTCCAGTCCTGACGCTGAAAAACATCCCCACAGCATGATGCTGCCACCAACATGCTTCACCGTAGGGATGGTGCCAGGTTTTCTCCAGACGTGACGCTTGGCATTCAGGCCAAAGAGTTCAATCTCGGTTTCATCAGACCAGAGAATCTTGTTTCTCATGGTCTGAGAGTCCTTTAGGTGCCTTTTGGCAAACTCCAAGCAGGCTGTTATCTGCCATTTACTGAGGAGTGTCTTCCGTCTGGCCACTCTACCATAAAGGCCTGATTGGTGGAGTGCTGCAGAATGGGTTGTCCTTCTGGAAGCTTTTCCCATCTCCACAGACGAACTCTGGAGCTCTGTCAGCGTGACCATCGGTTTCTTGGTCACCTCCCTGACCAAGGCCCTTGCTCCCCAGATCTGTGCCTCGACACAATCCTGTCTCGGAGCTCTACGGACATTTCTTTCGACCTCATGGCTTGGTTTTTGCTCTGACATGCACTGTCAACTGTTGGACCTTATATAGACAGGTGTGTGTCTTTCCAAATCATGTCCAATCAATTGAATTTACCACAGGTGAACTCCAATCAAGTTGTAGAAACATCTCAAGGATGATCAATGGAAACAGGAGGCACCTATACTCAATTTCAAGTCTCATAGCAAAGGGTCTGAATACTTACAGTACCAGTCAAAAGTTTGGACACCTATTCATTCCAGGGTTTTTCTTTGTTTTTACTATTTTCTACATTGAAGAATAATATTGAAGACATCAAAATTATGAAATAACACATATGGAATCATGTAGTAACCAGAAAAGTGTTAAAGAAATCTATATTTGAGATTCTTCAAAAAGCCACCCTTTGCCTTGATGACAGCTTTGCACACTCTTGGCATTCTCTCAACCAGCTTCACCTGGAACTATTTTCCAACAGTCTTGAAGGAGTTCCCACATATTTTGAGCACTGGTTGGCTGGTTTTCCTTCACTCTGCGGTCCGACTCATCCCAAACCATCTCAATTGGTTTGAGGTCGGGGGATTGTGGGGACCAGGACATCTGATGCAGCACTCCATCACTCTCCTTCTTGGTAAAATAGCCCTTACACAGCCTGGAGGTGTGTTGGGTCATTGTCCTGTTGAAAAACAAATGATAGTTCCACTAAGCCCAAACCAGATGGGATGGCGTATCGCTGCAGAATGCTGTGGTAGCCATGCTGTTAAGTGTGCCTTGAATTCTAAATAAATCACAGATAGTGTCACCAGCAAAGCACCCCCACACCATAACACCTCCTCTTCCATGCTTTACGGTGGGAAATAGACATGCAGAGATCATCCGTTCACCCACATCGCGCCTCACAAAGACACGCCGGATGGACTCCAGACCAAAGGACACATTTCCACCAGTCTAATTTCCATTGCTCGTGTTTCTTGGCCCAAGCAAGTCTCTTCTTCTTATTGGTGTCCGTTAGTAGTGGTATCTTTGCAGCAATTCGACCATGAAGGCCTGATTCACATAGTCTCCTCTGAACAGTTGATGTTGAGATGTGTCTTTTATTTGGGCTGCAATTTCTGAGGCTGGTAACTCTAATGAACTTATCCTCTGCAGCAGAGGTAACTCTGGGTCTTCCATTCCTGTGGCGGTCCTCATGAGAGCCAGTTTCATCATATCGCTTGATGGTTTTTGCGACTGCACTTGAAGAAACGTTCAAAGTTCTTGAAATGTTCCGTATTGACTGACCTTCATGTCCTAAAGTAATGATGGACTGTCGTTTCTCTTTGCTTATTTGAGCTGTTCTTGCCATAATATGGACTTGGTCTTTTACCAAATAGGGCTATCTTCTGTATACCCCCCCCTACCTTGTCACAACACAACTGATTGGCTCAAACGCATTAAGAAGTAAAGAAATTCCACAAATTAACTTTTAAGAAGGCACACATACATAAGCCTTGTCAAATAGTTATACATGTATTAGAGCGTATTTGAGGAGTGCTTGATTAAGCTTACATGCTGACTAGAACGGGCGTGCGCATGTTGATTTTGTCCATCCACACCAGACGCGATCAGGACACGTAGGTTGAAATATCAAAATGAACTCTGAAACAACTATATTAATTTGGGGACAGGTCGAAAAGCATTAAACATTCATGGCAATTTAGCTAGCTAGCTTGCTGTTGCTAGCTAATTTGTCCTGGGATATAAACATTGGGTTGTTATTTTACCTGAAATGCACAAGGTCCTCTACTCCAACAATTAATCCACAGATAAAAGGGTAAACCGAGTTCGTTTCTAGTAATCTCTCCTCCTTCAGGCTTCTTCGTCTTCTTCTTTGGTCTTTATATGGCGGTTGGCAACCAACTTTAAGGTGCATTACCACCACCAACTGGGCTGGAGTGTGGACCTCAGTTCATCTTTCATTCACCCACGTGGATATATGCTCCTAAAAACCAATGAGGAGATGGGATAGGCGGGACTTGCAGCCCGTCAAGCGTCACAAATAGAACCAAGTTCTATTTTAGCGCCTGGCTACGCAGACGATCCTTGATGCGCGCAAACAGTTTGGATGCAATGATTGAATAACATGTATGTATACATTTATTTTGCAACGCTCGCGCACGTAATGCGAGCAGTGTGGTCAGCATGTTAGAGTTAGCTTTGCTTTTGTGACTATTCCATTGGTTCAGTTGTAGGCCTACCGGGCAAACTAAATCAATCGCAGCAAAGTATTTGAAAGTAATTTGACATATGCATTTTACCCAAGTCTGGTACCAACCCAAAGCCACACAGGGCTCTCTGACGTACAGCTAGTTACTGCCTGACGTACAGCTACTTACTGCCTGACGTACAGCTACTTACTGCCTGACGTACAGCTACTTACTGCCTGACGTAGAGCTACTTACTGCCTGACGTACAGCTACTTACTGCCTGACGTACAGCTACGGACAGCCTGACGTACAAATACGGACTGCCTGACGTACAGCTACTTACTGCCTGACGTACAGCTACTTACTGCCTGACGTACAGCTACTTACTGCCTGACGTACAGCTACTTACTGCCTGACGTACAGCTACTTACTGCCTGACGTACAGCTACTTACTGCCTGACGTACAGCTACTTACTGCCTGACGTACAGCTACTTACTGCCTGACGTACAGCTACTTACTGCCTGACGTACAGCTACAGACTGCCTGACGTACAGCTACGGACTGCCTGACGTACAGCTACTTACTGCCTGACGTACAGCTACTTACTGCCTGACGTACAGCTACTTACTGCCTGACGTACAGCTACTTACTGCCTGACGTACAGCTACTTACTGCCTGACGTACAGCTACAGACTGCCTGACGTACAGCTACTTACTGCCTGACGTACAGCTACTTACTGCCTGACGTACAGCTACTTACTGCCTGACGTACAGCTACGGACTGCCTGACGTACAAATACGGACTGCCTGACATACAGCTACTTACTGCCTGACATACAGCTACTTACTGCCTGACTTACAGCTACTTACTGCCTGACGTACAGCTACTTACTGCCTGACGTACAGCTACTTACTGCCTGACGTACAGCTACTTACTGCCTGACGTACAGCTACTTACTGCCTGACGTACAGCTACAGACTGCCTGACGTACAAATACGGACTGCCTGACGTACAGCTACGGACTGCCTGACGTACAGCTACTTACTGCCTGACGTACAGCTACTTACTGCCTGACGTACAGCTACTTACTGCCTGACGTACAGCTACTTACTGCCTGACGTACAGCTACTTACTGCCTGACGTACAAATACGGACTGCCTGACGTACAGCTACTTACTGCCTGACGTACAGCTACTTACTGCCTGACGTACAGCTACTTACTGCCTGACGTACAGCTACTTACTGCCTGACGTACAGCTACTTACTGCCTGACGTACAGCTACGGACTGCCTGATGTACAGCTACTTACTGCCTGACATACAGCTACTTACTGCCTGACGTACAGCTACTTACTGCCTGACGTACAGCTACGGACTGCCTGACATACAGCTACTTACTGCCTGACGTACAGCTACTTACTGCCTGACGTACAGCTACGGACTGCCTGACATACAGCTACTTACTGCCTGACGTACAGCTACTTACTGCCTGATGTACAGACTGTACCAGACGGACCTGACGGGAATCAACTCCAGTTAGGGAAAAATCTAATTCATTGTGTACACCAACTGCGTCCCAAATTGAACCCACTTCCCTACTCCCTATTTAGTGCACTACTTTCTACCAGAGCCCTATGGGCCCTGGAGGTGGGCTAGCTCCCCGCGGGAGGTGTTTATGATCAGAGGGTGTCCTCTACAGCCACTATGACTAGTAGCATTAAAGACTATCTGCTTCTTTAACGTGTCTTTCTAGCACGCTTCTCCTTGATAATAATAGATCTAAGCTGTCACTATTGTTAAAGGCTTTAGGGGGTTTAACTGACAAGTCCCCTTTTCTTCTTTCTCCACAGGCGGTTTTGTTCAAATTGGCAAAATCAATTCCATTTCAAAGGTAATTTACTTAAAAGATGTGGAATTAATGAAAAAGATTTAGCCGGTGATCGGTGAGTACAGCAGGTCCTAAACTTCATTTCCATTTCAGACATTTCTGAAGGATGGACACTCCCCTTTTATTTTAGTTCAGAATATTGATGAGATTTGAGAATTGATAAGAATTTGTTCAAGGTGCGGTGAAGCCTAACTCTCAAGGGAAACACATAAATCGTGTCGGTATCTTCTGACGAAGCCGCTGTGAAGTAAAGGAGGAGGAACGAAACGGAAAAGAAAAACTACATTCTTGGATAACCATGTTTAGCAATTCCTTTTGAAGCTATTTTCTTACAATAAAAAAGCCCCATGTGCCAGGAATGTAAAACACAGAGGTAGGCCTAAGCATGGAAAAGCGTGAACAAACGTAATATTCTATCTATTGCGTGTATTTCAAGTGCAGGTCAAAGAGTTTCATCTGAGCACTGAGGATCCTTTATCCCTCTCATCAAAATATACAATCATTTAATATTCCCTTTAAACTTTGTGGTAAACCTACATCAGCACTAAGCTGACTCTAGCTCAACATTCCAAACCCCAGCAACAATTAGCCTACGTACCAGATCTGTTTTTTGTGATGTCTTGCCAACTCTTAAACTTAAGTATTCAACTAAATTTAAATTCCAGAAGGGTCTGAAGAATGTGCTGGTCCTTTTTTTATTTAAACTCAGAGTATTGAGTTTGTCAAGGCAGAAAACAGATCTGGGACCAGGCTATGAAAGAACTGATGGAAACGGGGACATGGAGATGGAGACAGCCCTCACCACAACACGGTTGGATCAGTTAAAAGTTCCCATTGATCAACTGACACAGACAAAGCCAGCAGAGCGACTAATGTGATAAGAGACCAGTGTGATTGAGCCTGGAATCCACACCGGAATGTTCTCTTCCGGATAAACACAGCCCTCTGATATGCAATCAGGCATTTAGATTAGGGCATATGTAAACACTATTTGCTACAGTACAGCGGGCCTGCCAAGGAAAAGGAATATGTTGCTTTTATGATCTCTGATAATAACGCAGTGCATTACAATGTACAATTGTATGCATGAGACTGTAGAGCACTGATGTAAAATGGGCTGTAAATCAAAATTGAACTGATTGAATGAGCTACGAGAGACTGCAAAAAGCAAATAAAAATGTGTGTTTCTTCATCTCTGATAATAATTAATGCATGTGAGCTTTACAACACCTTCAAGGTCCCCCAGTTGGTTGCATTGGTATTCATGACAATGCCTTGTTGCTGGACGGTCTTGATGCGCAGAGAGAGACGGAAGTTCGGATTCTCCTCCTCCTCCGTCGGGTACAGGTATTTCAGATAGCCATTCCCGTCAAAACTCACAGCGGACTCTGAAGTTGAAAAACAGCGTAAATTATAAATACGATTTGTGTGATTTCATCAAGAACATGTCTAATTAACATGTAGGCCTAGTATTCAAAACATTTTGGATGACTATCCGGCCGTCAAATTAGGAATTAAAAAATTATCAAATCTACTTGATCAAACAGAATTTCATGTTCATACAAATGTTCATACAAAATCCCCCAGATTCCCCTTGTGTATTTTTTATTTCAACCTCAGATCTCCCATGGCGCTTTCCTGGAGATATTTGGTTTGTTGAGGCTTTGGGTTTAGCCAGAATAGTCTAAATAAAGGAGGTGATAACCTCAATGGAATACCTCCACTAAATATGTCTGCCAGGCAGACAACAGAAGACCCACAACAAGCAGATAATCACTAGTACTATCCTGGAGGCCCCTAGCTGCCTTCTGCACCCAGTTAATCCCCATAGGAATGTGAGGTGTGTTAGATCATGAAGGGGGTGACTTCAGGTACCTACTGAGATCCTAGAGAGGTAGGAGCCTATTTGACAGATAGGGTTCAAACCCAGGTCTACTGTGTGCTAAAAAAAGTGTGCCTTAGCCCACTATACCAAAGCCTAGGCATTGACTTGGAGAGCTAATGCAATTCTTCACATCTCAGGCACGTCTCACTCAAGCTTGATAAGTAACCTTGACGAGCCACCAAACCACCTCCGTTACACCTACCGTTGCAGGAGCAGACACTCTCCCAGGTGTGTTGTGGGGTGATGAAGCCGGCCCTGGCTGTGGCGTAGTGGCTCAGCCTCTCACCTCTCATCTGGACTGAGTTCCTGCATCCTCTAGGAGGGCATTCTGTCCCTAGACACCCATTATGACGCACCCTGAGAACACTCAGTCCCAACGAGTCTTCTATGTCAGCGATGATCCCCGCCAGCCGGTTGGTTGGTAACGGTTCTACAGTTCCACCATGCGGCCTCCATAGCAGCAGAACCTCCAGGACCAGGGAGTTGGGTTGCTGCTGTAGGCTCACCAGATGGAGGTCTTGCCTGGCTATACCCAGGGCTGTGCTGAGGCTCCTCTGGAGGCCTCTCCAGTGGTCCCCCAGGAACTCCTCTGGGGAAAGCCCGACCAGCTGCAGAGTGAGCCCTGCGTCCAGGGCCTGCTGGGTGGGTTTCCACACATGGACCTTCACCCCGGCCCACACGCTGAACTTCCCATCGGAGACGCTGACATTGAGGGAGTAGAGACCAGGTTTCAGGTCTTCGTCGGCCCAGATCTTCCCATCCACCAGGTCCACAGAGAACCTGGAGAGGCCTCCAGAGGGGCCTGAGCTCGGCCCTGGGTCTCCCCCATCGGGAGACTCCGAGACCAGCTTGTAGTATAGGATGTCGTGCAGGTCCTGGTCGGAGGCATGGAGCTTGCCTATGACTCGGTTGGAGAAGCTGTCTCCTGTAGTGGTGATGAAGACTTCCAGGGGCATCACAGAAGGAGGGTACTTGCTCTGCTCAGTGACGTTGATTTTCACCACACAGATGGAGGAGAGAGGAGGGTGACCGGTGTCTGTCACCTAAGGTAAGGACATGAATAGAAACATACATTATCAAATGTCAGTATCTGCTAGTACTGTGTATGTATATAGTTTGACTCCATTTTGACATCCCAAATAACCAGTGGGCATGTATAGACTTCAGGTAAACCGATTACAACCAGGTAAATATGTTTTGCCTGCAGGGATCCGTTTTTGTTACAGGAATATTCAATACCTGTATTTTCAGTAGGTGCTGTGGCTTGATCTTCTTCTTCAGAGGGGCAGAGATGGACAACAGGCCTCCCTGGTCCACGTGGAAGCGGCGGTCCTCGTTCCCAGACACGATGTGGAAAGTGAAGGGAGGTCCATTCTGAGTGGTGTCTCTGTCTGTGACCACCAGCTGGAGGATGCTGCTACCAATGGCCTCGCCCTCCTGACAAGGAACATACGGTACCATCATTAGTTATGTAATCATGCTATCATAGAAACTAGGTCAAGCCTTCCATGACACCTCGTTCCACAAGGGCCTAAAACAAGACAGCCCCTAATGATTTTACCACATTGCAAAAAACTTGCTGATCGTGATCTCGTCTCGAAGAGTGAAAAATCTAAAAAGTTTCCAGTGAATGCCTGAAGTTTCCGCCTGCCCTGAATGCTACAGTGCTGAGTGCTGGAAAGCAGATGAGCTCATACCATAGTGTGAATGCGCAATGTGCAAGCGCACACACACCTAACCTTCTCCTCAGATCGTTCCATTTCAGCTGGAACAGGTCATTGAACCAGAGTGCCGTGTTGGCAGAGATATGGGGAGGATGATGAAGGCCAGTGATAGAAGATGCGCCTAGTGACTTGCTGACACCAGCCTTGCGTGTTGATTCAATATGGCATTGTCCGGATGGACGGCCGTGTATTTGCATCTCACACCATTGCCGTGGCAATCTCTGGGATGAGACGTTTCCACGGAAGTCCTGGGGTCACTGACGCCAGTAAATTAATGTTGCTGCGTGAATGAAATTGTCATGTTTTGGATTGTTTCAAGAGTTCATAAAGAGCTATGAATTTTTGATATATATTTTATTGCACTGTAAGTGCTATGGAGTTATTGTTACAGAGAGACTGTGGTATTCTGTTTGTTGGACGGCGGTCCGTTCAAAGAGGAGCGACACAGATGTGGGCTCCTATTATTTAAATTGGGTTGATTAGATTAGAATCTGGATGTGTTGTTCCTGCCTATTGTCTTTACTAGCAAAGAGCTACGAAATGTAAATTCAGGTTGGGGGTGAGTTCCTGCTTGAATTTGGTTAATTCAGTGAATTTCCTCATATTTTTTGAACTTGTTAGCAAGCTCCTGTGTGTATCAGACATGTGTAACCACGTTAAGTCTTATTTAGTTGACATCGGATTCAAAAATTAGAATCTTTCAATTTAAATTATTATATAAAATTCTTGCTACCAATAGAATGTTATTTATATGGGGGATACAATCTTCCCAGCTCTGCAGATTTTGCTGTGAAGAGATAGAATCATTAGATCATTTGTTTTGGTTCTGTCCATTTGTAGCTTGTTTTTGGACACAGGTCCAGGAATGGCTAAAGGATTGCAATATTTACCTGGAACTAACCTTGCAGATAGCATTACAATCAATAATATAATAATACTTTTAGCAAAAATGTTTATTTTTAATTCACAATCTGTAGAAGCAATGAGAATAGAAAGGTTCAGAACTTTTGTAAAACATCACAGTACAGTTGAAATATATATGGCAAATAGAAATCCTATATGGATGGTGTTAAGAGATAGATGGGAGGTATTGAATAGAGTTGAAGGATGGGACTAATAACAAATAACAACAAATAATAACAAAGATAGCTAATAATGTAAGCATACTGTGTCCATAATAAGTATATAGGTTGTATGTTGGGAGCTTTTGGGAAAGAGCACAGTTAGAAAGATATGGCATTTAGAAGCAAACCGGATGGACATCATGAAAATGATCGGAGAGGTTGAGAGTAGAAGAAGTTCAGGAGCAAAAAAATAAATATATATATATATATATATATATATATAATTATTGTAAAATTAACTCTGTCCATAAGGTGTAGATAGTAAGTATAGACCGGAAGTAGAGGCCTGGGCGTTGTTGTTCACTAATTTACTCCAAGTAGGGAAAGGATGGTGGGGTTGAAAAGTAATAAAGGGGAATATATATATAAAAAATAAAAAATAAACATGGGGGATTGGAAGTGATGCAGACAATTACATTGATAGAAGAGACAATCTATCTGCAATATTAAGCTGATCCATTCCCCCCATAAAAAAAAATAAAAAAATAAAAAAAAGTATTATTTAGTTGACAGTAATTTACTCTGAGTAGTCTGTAATGTATGATGTATTTCATGTACACTGTAATTGTTTGCGTGTTAATTCTTTCACAACTAATAAATCCTATTAGTTGAATTGAGTGAATGCATTCCTCGTTTTACAGAGTCATTCTTTGATTGCCTTTACGCTCATAATTTAGTAGGAATATCGGTGTTTGTTATTTACACTATAAACATAGCATATGCTTGGGTTCCACCTGGACATCTCTGATCTACTGATCCTCAATACATTAATGCTAGAACATTGGGTCGCCAGGATTAGCTTAGATTTGTATCTCGGATCAAATAAAATTTTATTTTGTCACGTGCGCCGAAATACAACAGGTGTAGACGTTACCGTGAAATGCTTAGTTACGAGCCCTTAACCAACAACACAGAGTTAAAAAGCATGAAAAAACGAGTTTCTTAATAATAACGTAATGCATAACGGTGGAAGATAGACATGTTCATTACAGCCACACTGAGTTGGTGATGGAAGGCCTTGACACATGTTGATTACAGCCACACTAAGTTGGTGATGGAAGGCCTTGACACATGTTCATTACACCCAAGGAAGGCCTTGACACATGTTCATTACAGCCACACTGAGTTGGTGATGGAAGGCCTTGACACATGTTCATTACAGCCAAGGAAGGCCTTGACCAAAGCCTCTAGATCCTGTTGCATTTATTCACATCATAATGGAGTCAGATTGATGAATGTAGTGTATTATATTCAACATCATGGTGCTTTTTTTTAAACCAAATACAGCTTCAAATACTATTTGAAATCTTAAATACGTTTTTTTTTTTAAAGTCATTTAGCAGACGCTGTTATCCAGAGCGACTTACAGGAGCAATTAGGGTTAAGTGCCTTGCTCAAGGGCACATCGACAGATTTTTCACCTAGTCGGCTCGGGGATTAGAACCAGCGACCTTTCGGTTACTGGCACAACGCTCTTAACCACTAAGCTACCTGCCTGTATTTTAACCCTGGTCTGAAAGAGGATGAACACACAGAGTGGAGGTAAATGGTGTGACACTTTTCCAAGTCAGCCAGAGAGGAAAAGCTGGGAACTGAATTGGACACGTGTTGACGACAAAGTAAAGTCACTCACCCTCAGTTTGAGGTACCTGGGGAAACAGAAAGTTCCCCTAAAGTACCACAGTCCAGGCCAAGATTTACAGTTCTGTTATTAGCAGTGTTCCCTTTCAAGCCATCACAAGACCAATAAACTGCTCTCCCTTTCTCCCTTTACGACTCTGAATGGCCCTGAGGAGGTCAGGAGACGCCTTCGGCAAGTTAGCAGACCGTCTTATGATCTGCATATGTTACTGGGGAAACGACCAGCAAGGCTTTTGAGCACCAAGAGATGTATATTGTAAGGTAGAAGAGTCAGGAAGAGACGTCTATTGTAGAAGTCTATTGTAGAAGTCTATTGTAGAAGTCTATTGTAGAAGTCTATTGTAGAAGTCTATTGTAGAAGAGCCAGGAATTGTACTATTTGTGACAAAGGGAAATGGTGCAAGGCCATGTAAACACGTTTTCTTAACAATATATCAAACTGAAAGACTCACGACATGTTGATATAACTTGAAACATGATACACTACATGACCAAAAGTATGTGGACATCTGAACATCTCATTCCAAAATCATGGGCATTAATATGGAGTGGGTCCCCACTTTGCTGCTATAACAGCCTCCACTCTTCTGGGAAGGCTTTCCACTAGATGTTGGAACATTGCTGAGGGGACTTGCTTCCATTCAGCCACAAGAGTATTAGTGAGGTCGGGCACTGATGTTGGGAGATTAGGCCTGGCTCGCAGTCGGCGTTCCAATTCATCCCAAAGATGTTCGATGGGGTTGAGGTCAGGGCTCTGTGCAGGACAGTCAAGTTCTTCCACACTGATCTCAACAAACCATTTCTGTATGGACCTCACTTTGTGCACGGAGGCATTGTCATGCTGAAACAGGAAAGGGCCTTCCCAAAACTGTTGCCACAAAGTTGGAAGCACAGAATCGTCTAGAGTGTCATTGTATGCTGTAGCGTTAAGATTTCCCTTCACTGGAACTAAGGGGCCTAGCCCGAACCATGAAAAACAGCCTCAGACCATTATTCCTCCTCCATCAAACTTTACAGTTGGCACTATGCGTTGGCAGGTAGCGTTCTCCTGGCATCCGCCAAACCCAGATTTGTCCGTCGGTCTGCCAGATGGTGAAGTGTGATTCATCACTCCAGAGAACGCGTTTCCACTGCTCCAGAGTCCAATGGCGGCGTGCTCTACACCACTCCAGCCGACGCTTGGTATTGCGCATGGTGATCTTAGGCTTGTGTGCAGCTGCTCGGCCATGGAAACCCATTTCATGAAGCTCCCGACGAACAGTTATTGTGCTGACGTTGCTTCCAGAGGCCGTTTGGAACTCGGTAGTGAGTGTTGCAACCGAGGACAGACAATTTTTACACGCTACACGATTCAGCAGTCGGCGGTCCCGTTCTGTGAGCTTGTGTGGCCTACCACTTTGCGGCTGAGCCTCTGTTGCTCCTAGACGTTTCCACTTCAGAATAACAGCACTTACAGTTGACCGGGGCAGCTCTAGCAGGGCAGAAATTTTACGAACTGACTTGTTGAAAAGGTGGCATCCTATGACGGTGCCACGTTGAAAGTCACTGAGCTCTTCAGTAAGGCCATTCTACTGCCAATGTTTGTCTATGGAGATTGCATGTCTGTGTGCTCAATTCTATACACCTGTCAGCAACGGGTGTGGCTGAAATAGCCGAATCCACCAATTTTAAAGGGTGTCCACATACTTTTGTATATATAGTGTATTTCTCTTCTGAACCTCCTATGTCATTACAAATAAGTACAATGGATATTTTACTGTAACATAAAAGGTATGCATTTTACCAAAAGCATGTGGTTACGTGGTGGAAGTCATTGAGTAGTTGTAAGATGGCAGGTCTAATTTACAAACTAATGATCAATACTGTCTCGGCACTGTCCACACCGGATGCTAACCGTTAACCAAGCCCATTGTCTATTCCTGGTTGGTGAAGCTCTCTTTAGTTTCACGGTGGTGGATGATGTAGCCCGCTCACATTTTCTCTTTCAATTGGTAAGACCATCTCATGCTCAAAAGTCTTGCGAATGTACCATTGTATTTGCCTGAGTTGAGTACGGAAGTTCACCTGTGGAGACGCGCCTCCATAACTGTATTGTATCCCGTTATACCCTGCCTCTGTATTGTATCTAACTAACTCCCGAGTGGCGCAGTGGTCTAAGGCACCGCATCGCAGTGCTAGCTGTGCCACTAGAGATCCTGGTTCGTATCCAGGCTCTGTCGTAGCCGGCCGCGACCGGGAGACCCATGGGGCGGCGCACAATTCGTCCAGGGGAGGGAATGGACGGCAGGGATGTAGCTCAGTTGTTAGAGCATGGCGTTTGCAACGCCAGGGTTGTGGGTTCGATTCCCACGGGGGGCCAGTATGAAAAAAAATTATAATAATGTATGCACTCACTAACTGTAAGTCGCTCTGGATAAGAGCGTCTGCTAAATGACTAAAACGTAAATGTTAACTACCCTTATTTAGTCTAGTAAAACCTTTAATGAATTATTTGTGGCATTGAGTTCATTGGGTTCTTGAGGTTTCAGAGCTCGATGACGTTTCAGAATGAGAACATAGTAATTGATTGTTGATTAAGATTGTTGATATAGGGCCTCCTGAGTGGCGCAGCGGTCTAAGGCACTGCATCGCAGTGCTTGAGGCGTCACTACTAGACCCGGGTTCGTTCCCAGGCTGTGTCACAACCGTCCGTGACCGGTGGCGCACAATTGGCCCAGCGTTGTCCGGGTTAGGGGAGGGTTTGGCCAGGGGGGCTTTACTTGGCTCAGCGCGCTCTAGCGACTCCTTGTGGCGGGCCGGAGACACAGAGTGTGTGTGTGTGTGTGTGTGTGTGTGTGTGTGTGTGTGTGTGTGTGTGTGTGTGTGTGTGTGTGTGTGTGTGTGTGTGTGTGTGTGTGTGTGTGTGTGTGTGTGTGTGTGTACCTGAAGGACCAGGTTGTGTTTGATCTGGGAGAAGATAGGTGGGTTGTCGTTGACATCGGACACGGTTAAGGTCACTTGGACCGCGGTAGACAGAGGAGGGTCTCCCTCATCAGCTGCTTGGACCGTCAGAGAGTAGTGAGTGATCTGGGAGAGGGAGAGAGACCAGTTAGATACAGGATATTAGTGTTCTACTACTTTCTTCACTTCTTTCTCTTAGCTCCTAGTAGAGCAAAGGGCTTCAACAGTGCATCTCCAGGGAACTTTATTCCAGGTGATTCCTTCCCAAACTAAACCCCCCTCACCTCCTCTCTGTCCAGTGTAGCCCTGACTATGATCTCTCCACTGCGAGGGTCGATGCTGAACTGCCCCTGAGGGTCTCCACTGGAGATGGAATAGTGGATAAGGTTGTTCAATGGCCCATCCAGGTCATTGGCTGTCACCTTGGAGTGTGAACAGAGGGGAAGGAGGGCAAAGGGGCCGAAGAGAAGAGGGGGGAGAGAAGAGGAGAGGGGGTTGAGAGGAGAGATGAGGGGGAGAGAAGTGGGGGGAGAGAGGTGGGGGGAGAGAAGAGGGGGTTGAGAGAAGAGGGGGTTGAGAGGAGAGATGAGGGGGGGAGAGAAGAGGTGGGGGGAGAGAAGAGGGGGTTGAGAGGAGAGGAAACAGTAAGCCTCATTGAACTGAGCTGCTTGGCTTTTATTGACACCAAATGAAATGACAGTCTTATTAATATTAACCCAACCAAACTGCCATTTTCTATAAGTACTTAGATGTGTTGCTGTCCAAATGCCAAATTCAAATTCAAAACAACTTTATTAGTCCCCTGAGAGAAATTACTTGTCATTGAACACATTGAATGGTGTATTACAATCACTGGTTTCTAAAGTGATAGTTGACACTTGAGAGTGACAGTTGACAGTTGAGAGTGATAGCTACCTGCATCACCACATCGCCAGGCGACAGGTCCTCTGAGATGTCAGCTCTGTAGTCTCCCTGTCCGAACACGGGCGCGTTGTCATTGACATCTGTGATGTTGATAATCACCATGGTGATGTCGCTCAGAGTCGACTTGCCTCTCGTCCCCTCCACTGACAGGTAGTATTCACGGCACAGCTCAAAGTCTAAAGAGCCATTCACAGCCAGAACACCTGAGAAACCCACAACACAAACCCTATTCATTTATCTGACAGCTTTGTTAACTTGGTCCTCTACACACCAACACAGCTCTGGGTTGACATGTGGGTTTTGAGTATACGTTCTGAGCCTTCAAAAAAATAGGAAAATTACAGCGATTTCCAAAGATGAACACAGCAATATATTTAATTCATCTTGTGGTGCTCTTTAATCACAAACGAAACGCTGACATGTTTCCACCTTGTGGTTTTTTTGTCAGCTCTTATCTGATTGTGTGTGTTCTGTTTCCAAAAAACATAAATCTTGTGATTGGCCTCGCAGTCAAACAGGTGTTGGGTGCTACCTGTAAATAGTACCAGGATGTAGAGAAATGGGACATTCTAAAACGTACATCTGTTCCAGCCCAAGGTAACTACAGTACCAGGATGTAGAGACATGGACTTGAGCAGATTGGAGTTTTCCTTTCTACTTTGTTCCAAGGACAGCTCTGCCTCAAGGTCAGAAATAATAATTATTGGTTAAGTTAAAGGAAGTCCATAGCAGGAAGGTGTCTGCCATAATATTGGGCATGGATCGTGATTTTAGAAATATTCGACATTTGGCTTGTCTCACTTTATCTGAACATCCCTTACTGTAGCTATGGTTACAAAAGCCACAAAGTGCAGCTGTACAGTACATTGGATTTATCTATTGCTGTTCTGTACCCTGGTGGAAACCTGCCACTGCTCTCGTATTCGTTCTCTCTCTCTCTCTCTCTCGCGCTCTCTCTCTCTCTCTCTCTCTCTCTCACTCACTCTTTAACTCTCTCACCCCCCTCTTGCTCTCTCTCACTCACTCTTTAACTCTCTCACGCCCCCCCCCTCTCTCTCTCTCTTTAACTCTCTCTTTAACTCTCTCTCTCTCTCTCTCTTTAACTCTCTCACGCCCCCTCTCTCTCTCTCTCTCTCTCTCTCGCTCTCTCGCTCTCTCGCTCTCTCTCTCTCTCTCTCTCTCTCTCTCTCTCTCTCTCTCTCTCTCTCTCTCTCTCTACCCCCCTCTACCCCCCTCTCCTTCACTTCTCCCTCTCTCTCCATCTCCTTCCCTCCATCTCTCTATCTCTCTGCTACAGAAACAGCCACATGTAAATGGGGCAGAGAGAGAGAGAATTTCCTGGTTTCCTGGGCCGTCTGCCAGTCTGGTTAACACACTTCATTAACATAAGACAAGATGACAACATAACAACAGTCATAACTGCCACATTCCTCTTAAAACCCCACTAGGTTACAACATGTGCGATAACATCACACAGGTACAATTCTCTGTTTTGTTGAGCTAGTTAAAGACTTCTAGAGCTAACCCTCACCTTGTCTGTTTGCTGAGCTAGTTAAAGGCTTCTAGAGCTAACCCTCACCTTGTCTGTTTGCTGAGCTAGTTAAAGGCTTCTAGAGCTAACCCTCACCTTGTCTGTTTGCTGAGCTAGTTAAATAATTCTAGAGCTAACCCTCACCTTGTCTGTTTGCTGAGCTAGTTAAAGACTTCCAGAGCTAACCCTCACCTTGTCTGTTTGCTGAGCTAGTTAAATAATTCTAGAGCTAACCCTCACCTTGTCTGTTTGCTGAGCTAGTTAAAGACTTCTAGAGCTAACACTCACCTTGTCTGTTTGCTGAGCTAGTTAAAGGCTTCTAGAGCTAACCCTCACCTTGTCTGTTTGCTGAGCTAGTTAAAGACTTCTAGAGCTAACCCTCACCTTGTCTGTTTGCTGAGCTAGTTAAATAATTCTAGAGCTAACCCTCACCTTGTCTGTTTGCTGAGCTAGTTAAAGACTTCCAGAGCTAACCCTCACCTTGTCTGTTTGCTGAGCTAGTTAAAGACTTCTCCTAGAGCTAACACTCACCTTGTCTGTTTGCTGAGCTAGTTAAAGACTTCTAGAGCTAACACTCACCTTGTCTGTTTGCTGAGCTAGTTAAAGACTTCTCCTAGAGCTAACACTCACCTTGTCTGTTTGCTGAGCTAGTTAAAGACTTCTCCTAGAGCTAACACTCACCTTGTCTGTTTGCTGAGCTAGTTAAAGACTTCTAGAGCTAACCCTGCCCAGACGCTCACCAACATTCACAACATCACCCCTGGCCAGACGCTCACCAACATCCACAACATCACCCCTGCCCAGACACTCACCAACATCCACAACGTCATCCCTGCCCAGACCCACCTGCTCACACCCCCATCTCCAGCGCCCGCATCAATCTCCGCCACATTACCTCAAACTGCACCATTATGTTTCTCTCCGTCGCCCATACACTTTCAACATTTTGATAATAAAGCATTTGACCTTTCCATTGTGTTAACGACAGAGAATTGGTTGATTTCCAGTTTTTTCAAGTCTATGTTATGTCCAAATGATTGACAAAAAAAGTATTGTCCAACCCATCGGGTATTTCACTGCACCCTCATATGCCATGTCAATGTCAACTCAAATGACTCCCTTAGTTCTCATTCAGGTACTTTTGAGAGTGATTTTACATGTACATCTGCCAGGTGTTTTTCTAGAAGGGATACAGCTTTTTCAAAATTGACTTTTCGTAGCATGTTTAGGAGAATGAACCTAGCAGGTTAGGATAACTAGGTTAAGGTTAGGAAAAGGGTAAGGGTTAGCTAACATGCAAAACAAATCTACTTTTGACATCAATTTGACCAAAGCTGTATCCCATTTAGACATGACCATCTGCCAGGGTTTGGATCAATTTGAATTGAAGTCAGTAAATTCAGGAAGTGATTTGAATTTAAAAAACAGCTTCTCCTTTTCAGCTTATTGAGAAGTCGTTGAAAATAGATGCCCTTTTTTGAATTTCAGTTTACTTCCTGAATTGTCTGACTTCAACCCTGACCTGTAATATATAACATTAAGCCTCCAAGTCTGTCTCCATTGATAAAACATATAATACATAACATTAAGCTTCCAAGTCTGTCCCTATTGATAAAACATATAATACATAACATTAAGCCTCCAAGTCTGTCTCCATTGATAAAACATATAATACATAACATTAAGCTTCCAAGTCTGTCCCTATTGATAAAACATATAATACATAACTAAAACATATACTTATTTACTTTGACACGTAGCTATGGTAACAAAACAACTGTGTGGTGGGACGATTGCTCTTGGGATGGAACTCTTGGGGTCCCCCTGTAGCTCAGTTGGTAGAGCATGGCGCTTGCAACGCCAGGGTTGTGGGTTCGTTTCCCACGGGGGGCCAGTATGAAAAAAGTATGCACTCACTAACTGTAAGTCGCTCTGTATAAGAGTGTCTGCTAAAATGACTAAAATGTAAAAATGAACTATGCACAAGTTGATTAAGCTGCTGACAAGCCCGGCTACTGAATGGTTTGACAACTAATACAGAGATTGGTTTGGCTCAGTCCAACCAACCTCTATGAGACTCCTGCTCTGCTACGGTAGATCAAAGCAGGGAGAATTTGTAATGAAGGGACACCAAGAGAAGTCAGGGAGAAAAAAGTAGGTACAGTATATGTGTCAGTGCAGGACCAGGCAGTATAATACAGTATATAGGTGCGTGTCAGTGCAGTATAATACAGTACTGACTACTTTATACTCATCCAGAGTGTCTGATTGCTTTACAGTGTATATCAACAGCACCTTTACAAAATCTATCAAAAGTGCACTGGCAGTGACAATGTACTTTCAATAATTTCTCTGCCTCGCTTTGCAATACTGCTCTGAAGTCAATAGAAAGCAGATCTATCTCTGCCAAAACATTCAAGAAATGGCACTATATATTGCAGTCAGCAGCACGACCAGGTGAAGAGGTATTTGCTATACCCTTTAGCTTTGCATCAACCTCATTAGTGGGCTTCTCTGCCTGCTGCCAGTTATTTCTTGCTGATGTGGGTGTATTTTTTAGGGTTCAAAATGGTTGCGCTTCATAAATATATTAATTTGCACCAAATAAATGCAAATAAACTTTATGAAACCTTATGGAATCTCACAGAACCTTAGTAACCCATGGAACTCAAGGAAGGGATGGAACCGAACCTTACCAGTTGCCGGGTGCAGGTAGAACCTTCCCCTCTCGTTGCCGGAGACGATGGAGTAAACAATGGGTTCCAGCTCGGTCCCGTCTCTAGTGAGGGCAGAGACGCTGATGACCTCTGACCCTACCAGGGTGGATTCTGGGATCTGGGCGGAGTACTCCTGGCTCAGGAACACCGGCTGGTAGTCGCTCAGGTCGACAACGTGTACCGTAACCGTGGCGACGGAGTACAGTTGTCGGGGAAGCCCCCGGTCTGTGGCTTTGACCTTGAGTTCAAAGGTCGATCGGGTGTTTTCGGCCAGCGACCTCTCCAGGCGCAGGATACCGGAGAACTCTTCCAATGAGAAGTGGCCGCTGTTGTCCTCGAGTAGAGAATACTTCACCTCAGAGTTTATTCCTGCAGAAGGAGAGAAGAGAATAGGAGTCAGTCTGGTTGTCCTGAGCAGAGACTATTTCATATAGAGAGAACACTATCTGGCTACTATTATCTCTATGGTATTTCACCTCAGAGTTCATATCTGCCGGAGGAGAAAATAGGAATTATCAGTCTGGTTGGTTTAGTACCACGAGTTTGGGTTTCTTCCAAAGTATGCTAATCACTAGGTAGTAACTTAATATTTACATTTACATTTACGTCATTTAGCAGACGCTCTTATCCAGAGCGACTTACAAATTGGTGCATTCACCCTATAGCCAGTGGGATAACCACTTTACAATTTTTATTTTTATTTTTATTTATTTTTTGGGGGGGGGGGGGGTAGAAGGATTACTTTATCCTATCCCAGGTATTCCTTAAAGAGGTGGGGTTTCAAATGTCTCCGGAAGGTGGTGAGTGACTCCGCTGTCCTGGCGTCGTGAGGGGACCTTGTTCCACCATTGGGGTGCCAGAGCAGCGAACAGTTTTGACTGGGCTGAGCGGGAACTATGCTTCCGCAGAGGAAGGGGAGCCAGCAGGCCAGAGGTGGATGAACGCAATGCCCTCGTTTGGGTGTAGGGACTGATCAGAGCCTGAAGGTACGGAGGTGCCGTTCCCCTCACTGCTCCATAGGCAAGCACCATGGTCTTGTAACGGATGCGAGCTTCAACTGGAAGCCAGTGGAGTGTGCGGAGGAGGGGGGTGACGTGAGAGAACTTGGGAAGGTTGAACACCAGACGGGCTGCATTCATCCATAATAAATATATAGCTAGGAGTTAATGGCCTTATCAAAGCCTTATCAAAGCCTTATCAAAACAATATGCGAGCTGCAATTATGAAGAAAAATAAAATAATAAACAGCCATAATAAACAGCCATAATAAACAGCCATAATTAACAGCCATAATTAACAGCCATAATTAACAGCCATAATAAACAGCCATAATTAACAGCCATAATAAACAGCCATAATAAACAGCCATAATAAACAGCCATAATAAACAGCCATAATTAACAGCCATAATAAACAGCCATAATAAACAGCCATAATAAACAGCCATAATAAAGTCAAACATCCATAATAAACATCCATAATAAACAGCCATAATTAACAGCCATAATTAACAGCCATAATTAACAGCCATAATAAACAGCCATAATAAACAGCCATAATAAACAGCCATAATAACAGCCATAATAACAGCCATAATAAACAGCCATAATAAACAGCCTATAAAGTAAACAGCCATAATAAACACATAAAACAGCCATAATAACAGCCATATAACAGCCATATAACAGCAAATAAACATCCATAATAACACCTAATAACAGCCATAATAAACAGCCATAATAACAGCCATAATAAAGCCAAATAAACACAAATAAAGTCAACATCTAATAAACAGCCATATAAACAGCCATAATAAAGCATAAAACCATATAATACATAAAACATCATATAAACAGCCACAGGATAATAAGTCGAATTAGATATGGTTTCTGCACCTACAGGAGTGGCTTTCTGTATCGATGCTCTCTCTCTCTCTCTCTCTCTCTCTCTCGCTCTCTCTCTCCTCTCTCACTCTCTCTCTCTCTCTTCTCTCTTCTCGTTCTCTCTCTCTCTTCTTTTTCTACTCATCTCTCTCTTCTCTCTCTCTCTCTCTCTATCTCCTCTCGCTCATTCTCTCTCCTCTCTCTCTCTACCTCTTCTTCTAAATGCTTATATCTAACATTATTAAGCAGGGAGTCATTGCTGAGACCACGGTCTGTTTGCGATGGCACGCTGAACACTCATGAACACACTTACACTTACAATCTTGTACACTCAATTACATTTACACTTGAAAAGCAATGACACTAAAAGCAAAACACAATCATATGAAACAAACATATTCTTTAGTAAAGAGGCCCTCTAACATCTGCCTGAATTGCCCTACAGGCACCAACTCAAACAATTTTAAGGACTTTTGGAGATCATTCCACATGAGAGGCGCAAAACAACAAAGAAAAACTGATTCAGCTAACTCAGTGGATGTTGAAGGGATCTCCACGCCTCTAACTTATACATCTGAAGGTTAACAATGAGGTAAGGTATGCAAGAGGGCTTTATAGACAAAAAGAATACAATGCATCGCTCTAGGAGACTTCAAAGAGGGCCAGCCTGCTTTCTGATACAGAATGCATGCGATGTGTCCTGAACCTGCTGCCCGTAATAAAGCGTAGTGCACTGTGGTAAACTGCATCCAATGGTTTCAGTGTATTGGCAGCTGTATTCATATAGATGGTGTTGCCATAGTCTAAAACCGGAATGAATGTTGACTGAATTATCTGCTTTCTGCTATTTGACAAAAGACAGGACCTGTTCCTATAGAATAATACTATTTTAATTCTTAATTTCTTAACCAACTCATAAACATGTTTTTTGAAAGATAGCTTTTCGTCAATCCAGATGCCCAGATATTTATAAGCAGGGACACGATCAATAAGGGGCACCATCCAAAATTACATATGCATAAATTAGTGATGCGCTTGTTGACTCATAACCCACAGTTCCGGTGGTTATATCCGCAGGGCGGGCGGATTTATGGTCATGAACTTTTGTGTGGAGGAAGGGCGGTTGGGTGGCGGTCAGGAAGTATATAGGAGAAGAGTGTTTACGTTATGACCTGGGGAATAGGAGAATCGTCTCTATGTTATGACCTGGGGAATAGCAGAATAGTCTCTATGTTGTGACCTGGGGAATAGGAGAATAGTCTCTATGTTATGACCTGGGGAATAGGAGAATAGTCTCTATGTTATGACCTGGGGAATAGGAGAATAGTCTCTATGTTATGACCTGGGGAATAGGAGAATAGTCTCTATGTTATGACCTGGGGAATAGGAGAATAGTCTCTATGTTATGACCTGGGGAATAGGAAAATAGTCTCTATGTTATGACCTGGGGAATAGCAGAAGAGTCTTTATGTTATGACCTGGGGAATAGGAGAATAGTCTTTATGTTATGAACTGGGGAATAGGAGAATCGTCTCTATGTTATGACCTGGGGAATAGCAGAATAGTCTCTATGTTGTGACCTGGGGAATAGGAGAATAGTCTCTATGTTATGACCTGGGGAATAGCAGAATAGTATCTTATATTATGACCTGGGGAATAGGAGAATAGTCTTTATGTTATGACCTGGGGAATAGCAGAATAGTCTTTATGTTGTGACCTGGGGAATAGGAGAATAGTCTCTATGTTATGACCTGGGGAATAGCAGAATAGTATCTTATATTATGACCTGGGGAATAGGAGAATAGTCTTTATGTTATGACCTGGGGAATAGCAGAATAGTCTTTATGTTATGACCGGGGGAATAGGAGAATAGTCTCTATGTTATGACCTGGGGAATAGCAGAATAGTTTCTATGTTATGACCTGGGGAATAGGAGAATAGTCTCTATGTTATGACCTGGGGAATAGCAGAATAGTATTTTTTGTTATGACCTGGGGAATAGGAGAAGAGTCTTTATGTTATGACCTGGGGAATAGAAGAAGAGTCTTTATGTTATGACCTGGGGAATAGCAGAATAGTCTTTATGTTGTGACCTGGGGAATAGGAGAAGAGTCTTTATGTTATGACCTGGGGAATAGAAGAAGAGTCTTTATGTTATGACCTGGGGAATAGCAGAATAGTCTTTATGTTGTGACCTGGGGAATAGGAGAAGAGTCTTTATGTTATGACCTGGGGAATAGGAGAATATTCTTTATGTTATGACCTGGGGAATAGGAGAATAGTCTTTATGTTATGACCTGGGGAATAGCAGAATAGTTTCTATGTTATGACCTGGGGAATAGGAGAATAGTCTTTATGTTATGACCTGGGGAATAGGAGAATAGTCTCTATGTTATGACCTGGGGAATAGCAGAAGAGTCTTTATGTTATGACCTGGGGAATAGAAGAAGAGTCTTTATGTTATGACCTGGGGAATAGCAGAATAGTCTTTATGTTGTGACCTGGGGAATAGGAGAAGAGTCTTTATGTTATGACCTGGGGAATAGGAGAATATTCTTTATGTTATGACCTGGGGAATAGGAGAATAGTCTTTATGTTGTGATCTGGGGAAGAGCAGAATAGTCTCTGTGTTATGACCTGGGGAATAGCAGAATAGTCTTTATGTTATGACTTGGGGAATAGCAGAATAGTCCCCTATGTTATGACCTGGGGAATAGGAGAATAGTCTTTATGTTATGACCTGGAGAATAGTCTTTATGTTATGACCTGGGGAATAGCAGAATAGTTTCTATGTTATGACCTGGGGAATAGGAGAATAGTCTTTATGTTATGACCTGGGGAATAGGAGAATAGTCTCTATGTTATGACCTGGGGAATAGCAGAAGAGTCTTTATGTTATGACCTGGGGAATAGGAGAAGAGTCTTTTATGTTATGACCTGGGGAATAGGAGAATAGTCTTTATGTTATGACCTGGGGAATAGGAGAGGAGAATTTTATGTTATGACCTGGGGAATAGCAGAAGAGTCTTTATGTTGTGACCTGGGGAATAGGAGAATAGTCTCTATGTTGTGACCTGGGGAATAAGAGAATAGTCTCTATGTTATGACCTGGGGAATAGCAGAATAGTCTTTATGTTATGACCTGGGGAATAGCAGAGTAGTCTCTATGTTATGACCTGGGGAATAGGAGAATAGTCTCTATGTTATGACCTGGGGAATAGGAGAATAGTCTCTATGTTATGACCTGGGGAATAGGAAAATAGTCTCTATGTTATGACCTGGGGAATAGGAGAAGAGTCTTTTATGTTATGACCTGAGGAATATGAGAATAGTCTTTATGTTATGACCTGGGGAATAGGAGAAGGGTATTTCACATTATGACCTGGGGAATAGGAGAATAGTCTTTATGTTATGAACTGGGGAATAGGAGAAGAGTCTTTATGTTATGACCTGGGGAATAGGAGAATAGTCTTTATGTTATGACCTGGGGAATAGCAGAATAGTCTCTATGTTATGACCTGGGGAATAGGAGAATAGTCTCTATGTTATGACCTGAGGAATAGGAGAATAGTCTCTATGTTATGACCTGGGGAATAGGAGAAAAGGAGGTAAGTACAATTGAAGTCGGAAGTTTACATACACCTTAGCCAAATACATTTTAAACTCTGTTTTTTCACAATTCCTGACATTTAATCCTTGTAAAAATAAATAGGTCAGTTAGGATCACCACTTTATTTTAAAAATGTGAAATGTCGGAATAATAGTAGAGAGAATTATTTATTTTCTGCTATTATTTCTTTCGTCACATTCCCAGTGGGTCAGAAGTTTACATACACTCAATTAGTATTTGGTAGCATTGCCTTTAAATTGTTTTACTTGGGTCAAACGTTTCAGGTAGCCTTCCACAAGCTTCCCACAATAAGTTGGGTGAATTTTGGCCCATTCCTCACGACAGAGCTGGTGTAACTGAGTCAGGTTTGTAGGCCTCCTTGCTCGCACACGCTTTTTCAGTTCTGCCCACAAATGTTCTATAGGATTGAGGTCAGGGCTGTGTGATGGCCACTCCAATACCTTGACTTTGTTGTCCTTAAGCCATTTTGCCACAACTTTGGAAGTATGCTTGGGGTCATTGTCCATTTGGGAGACCCATTTGCGACCAAGCTTTAACTTCCTGACTGATGTCTTGAGATGTTGCTTCAATATATCCACAGAATTTTCCTTCCTCATGATGCCATCTATTTTGTGAAGTGCACCAGTCCATCCTGCAGCAAAGCATCCCCACAGAATGATGCTGCCAACCCCGTGCTTCACGGTTGGGATGGTGTTCTTCGGCTTGCAAGCGACCCCCTTTTTCCTCCAAACATAACGATGGTCATTATGGCCAAACAGTTCAATTTTTGTTTCATCAGACCAGAGGACATTTCTCCAAAAAGTACGATCTTTGTCCCAATTTGCAGTTGCAAACCGTAGTCTGGCTTTTTTATGGCGGTTTTGGAGCAGTGGCTTCTTCCTTGCTTAGGGGCCTTTCAGGTTATGTCGATATAGGACTCGTTTTACTGTGGATATAGATACTTTTGTACCTGTTTCCTCCAGCGTCTTCACAAGGTCCTTTGCTGTTGTTCTGGGATTGATTTGCACTTTTCGCACCAAAGCACGTTCATCTCTAGGAGACAGAACTCGTCTCCTTCCTGAGCGGTATGACGCTGCTTGGTCCCATGGTGTTTATACTTGCGTACTATTGTTTGTACAGATAAACGTGGCACCTTCAGGCATTTGGAAATTGCTCCCAAGGATGAACCAGACTTGTGGAGGTCTACAATTTTCTTTCTGAGGTCTTGGCTGATTTCTTTTGATTTTCCCATGATGTCAAGCAAAGAGGCACTGAGTTTGAAGGTAGGCCTTGAAATACATCCACAGGTACACCTCCAATAGACTCAAATGATATCAATTAGCCTATCAGAAGCTTCTAAAGCCATGACATCATTTTCTGGAATTTTCCAAGCTGTTTAAAAGCACAGTCAACTTAGTGTATGTAAACTTCTAACCCACTGGAATTGTGATACAGTTAATTATAAGTGAAATAATCTGTCTGTAAACAATTGTTGGAAAAATTACTTGTGTCATGCACAAAGTAGATGTCCTAACCAACTTGCCAAAACTATAGTTTGTTAACAAGAAATCTTTGGAGTGGTTGAAAAACGAGTTTTAATGACTCCAAACTAAGTGTATGTAAACTTCTGGCTTCAACTGTATATAGGAGTAGAGCCTCTACTACATAAAGGGGAGATTTTACCATATAAATATAATTACTAGATCAGACAAAGCCCCTCGAACCATACCTCAGAACATCAATGTCCGTTCTAGTAATTCTGATTCTATAGATTTTGGCTCATATAAATAAAATAACTAGATCAGCAAAGCCCCTTCAGACTATGCCTCAGAATGGGAATGTCTACTCTTATTCATTTTATCTCAATAATATGACTTACCCGTGTCAGGATCTTTGGCGTAGATGACAGCGATGGGTGTCCTGACGGTGGTGTTGTCGAACACGGTGACTTCATAGTGGTTGTTGGAGAACTTGGGAGGGTTGTCGTTCATATCCTGGATCATGAGTAAAATGTCTGCCTGGCAGGAGCGGCCTCCGCCATCCGTGGCTTTAACTACGAGATCATACTCCATCACCTTCTCCCGGTCCAACTGGTCCAGGGTGAACAACTCCCCTGTCACAGATAAGAAGAACAAATACTTAGATGAATATATAGATGGACTTAACTTATTGCTTCTAGATCCTAGTGGAGCAGAGGGCCTCACATACAGTAGAGTACATGTTAGATGGAGATATACAGTGGGGGAAAAAAGTATTTGATCCCCTGCTGATTTTGTACGTTTGCCCACTGACAAAGACATGATCAGTCTATAATTTTAATGGTAGGTTTATTTGAACAGTGAGAGACAGAATAACAACAAAAAAATCCAGAAAAACGCATGTCAAAAATGTTATGAATTGATTTGCATTTTGATGAGGGAAATAAGTATTTGACCCCTCTGCAAAACATGACTTAGTACTTGGTGGCAAAACCCTTGTTGGCAATCACAGAGGTCAGATGTTTCTTGTAGTTGGCCACCAGGTTTGCACACATCTCAGGAGGGATTTTGTCCCACTCCTCTTTGCAGATCTTCTCCAAGTCATTAAGGTTTCGAGGCTGACGTTTGGCAACTCGAACCTTCAGCTCCCTCCACAGATTTTCTATGGGATTAAGGTCTGGAGACTGGCTAGGCCACTCCAGGACCTTAATGTGCTTCTTCTTGAGCCACTCCTTTGTTGCCTTGGCCGTGTGCTGTGGGTCATTGTCATGCTGGAATACCCATCCACGACCCATTTTCAATGCCCTGGCTGAGGGAAGGAGGTTCTCACTCAAGATTTGATGGTACATGGCGCCGTCCATCGTCCCTTTGATGCGGTGAAGTGGCCTGTCCCCTTAACAGAAAAACACCCCCAAAGCATAATGTTTCCACCTTCATGTTTGACGGTGGGGATGTTGTTCTTGGGGTCATAGGCAGCATTCCTCCTCCTCCAAACACGGCGAGTTGAGTTGATGCCAAAGAGCTCGATTTTGGTCTCATCTGACCACAACACTTTCACCCAGTTCTCCTCTGAATCATTCAGATGTTCATTGGCAAACTTCAGATGGGCCTGTATCTGTGCTTTCTTGAGCAGGGGGACCTTGCGGGCGCAGCAGGATTTCAGTCCTTCACGGCATAGTGTGTTACCAATTGTTTTCTTGGTGACTATGGTCCCAGCTACCTTGAGATCATTGACAAGATCCTCCCGTGTAGTTCTGGGCTGATTCCTCACCATTCTCATGATCATTGAAACTCCACGAGGTGAGATCTTGCATGGAGCCCCAGGCTGCGGGAGATTGACAGTTCTTTTGTGTTTCTTCCATTTGCGAATAATCACACCAACTGTTGTCACCTTCTCACCAAGCTGCTTGGCGATGGTCTTGTAGCCCATTCCAGCCTTGTGTAGGTCTACAATCTTGTCCCTGACATCCTTGGAGAGCTCTTTGGTCTTGGCCATGGTGGAGAGTTTGGAATCTGATTGATTGATTGCTTCTGTGGACAGGTGTCTTTTATACAGGTAACAAACTGAGATTAGGAGCACTCCCTTTAAGAGTGTGCTCCTAATCTCAGCTCGTTACCTGTATAAAAGACACCTGGGAGCCAGAAATCTTTCTGCTTGAGAGGGGGTCAAATACTTATTTCCCTCATTAAAATGCTAATCAATTCATAACATTTTTGACGTGTGTTTTTCTGGATTTTTTTATTGTTATTCTGTCTCTCACTGTTCAAATAAACCTAACATTAAAATTATAGACTGATCATGTCTTTGTCAGTGTGCAAACATACAAAATCAGCAGGGGATCAAATACTTTTTTCCCTCACTGTATAGTCTATGTATAGATGAAAACTGGCTGTTGGTGGTGGGAAAAAACACTGAGATCTATATCAAAATGGTGGGAAAGAACACTGAGATCCATATCAAAATGGTGGGGAAAAACACTGAGATGTATATCAAAATAGTGGGAAAAAACACTGAGATGTATATCAAAATGGTTGGGAGAACACTGAGATGTATATCAAAATGGTGGGAAAAAACACTGAGATGTATATGAAAATAGTGGGAAAAAACACTGAGATGTATATCAAAATAGTTGGGAAAACACTGAGATGTATATTAAAACTGTGGGGAAAAACACTAAGATGTACAGTACCAGTCAAAAGTTTGGACACACCAACTCATTCCAGGGTTTTTCTTTATTTTTACTATTTTCTACATTGTAGAATAATAGTCAAGACATCAAAACTATGAAATAACACATATGGAATCATGTAGTAACCAAAAAAGTGTTAAACAAATCTAAATATATTTTTATATTTGAGACTCTTCAAAGTAGCCACCCTTTGCCTTGATGACAGCTTTGCACACTCTTGGCATTCTCTCAACCAGCTTCATGAGGTAGTCAACTGGAATGCATTTCAATTAACAGGTGTGCCTCGTTAAAAGTTAATTTGTGGAATTTCTTTCCTTCTTAATGCGTTTGAGTCCATCAGTTGTGTTGTGACAATGTAGGGGTGGTATACAGATGATAGCCCTATTTGGTAAAAGACCAAGTCCATATTATGGCAAGAACAGCTCAAATAAGCAAAGAGAAACAACAGTCCATCATTACTTTAAGACACGAAGGTCAGTCAATCCGGTAAATTTCAAGAACTTGAAGTTTCTTCAAGTGCAGTCGCAAAAACCATCATGCGCTATGATGAAACTGGCTCTCATGAGGACCGCCACAGGAATGGAAGACCCAGAGTTACCTCTGCTGCAGGGGATAGGTTCATTAGATTGCAGCCCAAATAAATGCTTCACAAAGTTCAAGTAACAGACACATCTCAACATCAACTGTTCAGAGGGGACTGTGTGAATCAGGCCTTCATGGTCGAATTGCTGCAAAGAAACCACTACTAAAGGACACCAATAAGAAGAAGAGACTTGCTTGGGCCAAGAAACACGAGCAATGGACATTAGACCTGTGGAAATCTGTCCTTTGGTCTGATGAGTCCAAATTTGAGATTTTTGGTTCCAACCACCATGTCTTTGTGAGACACGGAGTAGGTGAACGGATGATCTCCACATGTGTGGTTCCCACTGTGAAGCATGGAGGAGGAGGTGTTATGGTGTGGGGTGCTTTGCTGGTGACACTGTCTGTGATTTATTTAGAATTCAAGGCACTCTTAACCAGCATGGCTGCCACAGCATTCTGCAGCGATACGCCATCCCATCTGGTTTGTGCTTAGTGACACTATCATTTGTTTTTCATTGGGACAATGATCCAAAACACACTTCCAGGTTGGGATATTTGCTGGTGACACTGTCTGTGATTTATTTAGAATTCAAGGCACACTTAACTAGCACGGTTATTTGTTTAACACTTTTTTGTGTACTACATGATTCCATATGTGTTATTTCATAGTTTTGATGGTCTTCACTATTATTCTACAATGTAGAAAATAGTAAAAATAAATAAAAACCCTTGAATGAGTAGGTGTGTCCAAACTTTTGACTGGTAGTGTATATCAAAATGGTGGGGAAAAACACTGAGATGTATAGTATATCAAAATTATGGGAAAAGGGGCCAGACAGTAGGCCTTTGCATTCTTTAAAAATAGCGTCACAGTTTACAAAATATTTACTGAATTCTATCAAGAAGGAAACAATGAGAAGTACAAATAAATCACAAAATGTTTACATTTCTGGTAGTCATTCACCATACTACCAGCGCCATACCATTACTTTGGGTTGAAGAGCATATCAAAGCATCTCTTAGCATATATGTAACGTGAAAGGACAAATTCTTGAGATTATGAGCCCTGATTGGCTTACAATAATGAAGATAGATTGATGATAGGCTAGTGCTATGACAAACAGGAAGTATGATGAAAAGCCAAAGAACCAAACATGGAAAAAACATGTGGTGGTCTGACAGTGCACCATCTTGTCTTCTTGAAGACCTCAGTTTAAGTATTTTGTAAGAATGGAGATGTTATCTCTCAACCCAAACAAATAACGGATTTCACTTAGGGCCTCTTTTTGTTTACACCCCAAATAACAGTTGTCTCTAACCTGTCTTTTGATCAAGATGGAACTTGTCTGCGTTGGGGCCGTGGAGGGTGTAGGACATTTGTCCGTTGGTGCCGATGTCTGGGTCCGACGCTGAAACCTTCAGTATGAACATGCTTGACGGGGAATTCTCCATGACAACCTCTGTGTACAGCAACTGGAAAGAAACATCGATAGTTAGCTTCACCTTAGGTCAAATTGCAGTTGTTGACATTAGGCATTTTATCCATGCTTAGGTAGGAATACTGCTCATGTATGTGTTATGTATGTATGAACTGTTATAAAGTCCTTATGTAGGTACAACGTGTTACCGCTCTGCATGTATGTAGTATATCATCTACAGGGATCTAAATATATACCGTAGTGTCATGGCCGACTGACGTACCTGCTCACACAGAGGACTGTTATCGTTGATGTCTAGAACATGGACCTCTACTGTGGCAGGGGCCTCGAATCTCCCGTCGGTAACTGTTATCTTCAGGGAGTACTTATCTTTATCTTCGCGGTCAAGGGACTCTTTGAGGACCAGCACCCACTCCTCTCCCTCTTGCACAACGGAGAACTGGGCCAATGGGTCTCCATCTAAGGAAAAACATTTGAACGCTATAAATGGAATATCAACGCTACCCGGAGACCTATATGGGTTTGATCATAACCACCACATCATTCTTCCTGTCAATGTAGTCACTTTTACACTTAGAATAAACCATTATAGAAGATATATTGTTCTGTTATAATGAGCCATTATAGAAGATATATTGTTCTGTTATAATGAGCCATTATAGAAGATATATTGTTCTGTTATAATGAGACATGACTATAGAAGATATATTGTTCTGTTATAATGAGCCATTATAGAAGATATATTGTTCTGTTATAATGACACATGACTATAGAAGATATGTTGCTCTGTTTCTTATTTAAATGTTGTTCATAATGCTGATAGACCTGAGAAAACTACCATTCAACTACTTCAAAAAGTGTATGTGATCAATCATTCAATCAATCAAATTAATCAATCAACAAGACTCACCTGTGATGTAGCACGTGATCTGCCTGTTCTCTTTAGTCACATCCATATCAACGGTCGTCAGGCTCACGATGACCTCCCCAGGCCTAGTGTTCTCCATGACAGACCCATGGTACACGTCCTCCGTGAACCGAGGAGGGTTGTCGTTCTCGTCAGTCACCGTCACCTCCACTAGAACCGAGGACGAGAGCTTAACCATCCCACCGTGGTCAGTAGCCACCACTGTGAAGCTGTAGTGCTGTGTCGTCTCACTGTCCGTTTCTCTCAGAGTAGTTATCCAACCGCTCTCACTGTCGATGGAGAAGACATTGGCGATGTCATCGGGTTCGGCTTCCAAGGTGTAGGTCACCTGTCCATTGGTGTCCTGGTCAGGGTCGTTGGCAGTCACCTGGACGGATTAATTAATTAATGGATTAATTAATTAACTAAACTGTTATTGCCCTAAAAGAGAATTTGATTTGCACATCATGAACACAGAAATCATAAAGAATTGCACACAACACTCAAGTACAAAAATATAAGATCAATGAAAAAAATATATCTGAAAAAAAACATACCTGGATGACGGTGGTTCCTGGTGGCATGTTCTCAGCCAGGAAGGCCTTGTAAGGGTTGGCCTCGAACACCGGCACGTTGTCATTCACATCCTGGACCTGGATGCTGACCGACACCAGCGAGGCTACGTCGGTCCCGTTGTGGTTGCCTTGAGCAATAACATCTATCTGATACCACTTGGTCTTCTCGTGGTCGATGCTCTTCTGGACGAGTAGAGTACCGCTCTCTTTATCCAGAGCAAACACTCTGTCTCTGTTACTCTCCACAGTGTTGCCATTGACCAGGCTGTAGATGACTGGCATATCGGAGTCGGCCTTGATCGTCCCGATCTCTGTTCCCATAGAGATGTCCTCGGCTGCAGAGAAGGTGTACAGCGGCTCGGAGAACTTCGGAAGAGGGACCTCAGGTGGGACTACTTTCACCTGCACCGGAACCGTGGAGTTGTAGAACGGTAATCCGCCATCCCGAGCCTTGACTTTGAAGTTGAATATCTTGTTCTCTTGACCTATCAGGCTCTCTTTGACGCTGACAATGCCAGTGAAGGGGTTGATCTCGATGATGTCCTCGGTCACTTCCTCTGTTTCGTCCACGGTGTAGGTGACGTCAGCATTTTTGCCGTCGTCTGCGTCGTACGCCATTATCTGAATCACGGGAGAGCCTTTGTTTACAGTAGACTGGATTGAGACCTGATACTCTGACGCTTTGAACTGAGGGGCATTATCATTCTCATCTGTCAGGATAATCTTCACAGTGCAGAACGCTACTTTCCCTCCGCCATCTTTAGCCATCACCTTGACGGCGATCACTCTTTGGGATGGGTTCTCGCGATCTAAAGGTTGAGATGTTACGATCTGTCCATTCTTGTCTATGGAGAATTTCTCATCTGCCAGTTTATTGATGATGGTGTAGTCCACGCTGCCGTAAGGTCCATCGTCAGGGTCTATGGCGGCCAGGCGAATCACACGTGTTCCAGCCTCGGCGTTCTCAGCTAGTTCCGCCTCGTAGATGTTCTTGTTAAAATAGGGGCTGTGTTTATTAGTGTTCATCATATCAATGATCACGGGGGCTGTATTCTGGAAAACGCCATCTGACACAGCTACGGTGAGGTTGTAGAATGGGTCCACATTTCTCTTGCAGACATTAGAAAAGGAGATAATCCCAGAGGATTCGTTGATGGCGAAGTATCTTCCCTCATTACCCGAGAGGATCTTATACTGTAGATTGTTAAAGTCTCTGGTGTCGGGGTCCGAAGCTTGGATTTTTATGACGATGTGGCCACATTTGGCCATTTCATCCAGTGTTGCCTGATAGTGGGGCATGGAGAAGTTTGGAGGGTTATCGTTGACATCGGTTACGTTAACAATGACATAGGCTTCGCTGCTCAATGGGTTTGTGCCATTATCTATGGCTTTGATCTTTAACTGGAAGTGCTTCGTGTTCTCATAGTCCAACACCTGTGTCGTAATAATTAGACCGCTCTGGGGATCTATCTCAAAGAAGTCTGTTTCATTTTCCCCCGTCCGCAAAATATGGAAAGTTATGTCTTTATTTCTGCCCGAGTCTCTATCTGTGGCTGATATCTGTAAAACAGATGTGCCTATGGGTAATCCTTCAGGCATATCTACTGTGTCAGTCAGCTTGGAGAAGACTGGAGGGTTATCGTTAACATCTTCAACCTCTATTTCGACAGCAGCCACTGAATAGGAGCCTGTCACAGTGTCAGTGGCTCGGACCGTCAATAGATGCATTGTCTGGCTCTCATAGTCCAATAAATCAGTGACACTTAACACTCCTGTTTTAAAATCTATGTGAAAGTGTTTTGATGCGTTCTCCTCTTCCAGATTGTAAATAAGCCGGTATCCCTCAGGGTTTCTTGCTTGTACATGCAAGATGGTGGTGAAGGGAGATATGTTTTCAGGGACTTTCAGAGGATAGAGCAAAGTCTGAAAAATGGGGTTGGTGCGATTTCTCACCGTGATACTCAGCTCTTCTGAAACGGTCCAACTGGGCGAGCCCTCGTCTGTGGCCAGGACAGTCAGGGTATATTTATTTGTAGCTTCAAAGTCTATAGGCCGCTGAAGGGACACGTCACCAACATAAGGGTCTATCCTAAACAGATCAAAATCTTCCTCCAACAAGTACATAATTGAGCCATTTTCTCCAAGATCACTGTCGGAGGCCATCACTTGAAAGATTACATCTCCTGGGTCTGTGTCATCAGAGATCATCATGGAGTGAGGCAGGTTCAAGAACCTTGGTGGATTGTCATTGACGTCAACTATGTAAACGTTGACATGGGTTATTGCCCTGCGAGGGGGGCTCCTCATGTCACTCACCTCCACCACTATGTCATAGACATCCTGCTCCTCTCTGTCGAAGGGGACGCCGGTGGTCTCAAGCACCCCTGATGTTGGGATTATAGAAAACCGTCCCATTGGGTTCAATACAGAGTAAATCAGAGGCTCGTTCAAGTAGCTACCTGAAGCTCTCAACACAGCTAACGTTTTGACCGATGTCGAGTTCTCCACAATGGTGGCTGCATACAATCCCTGCTCAAATTCAAGATGGCCGCCTGCTGTTATGTTGGTGATGTTTATCTTAACTGTGGCAAGGTCTTTGTACAGGCCGTCAGAGGCTTTGACCAGCAGCTGGTAAAAGGATTTAAACTCTGAAACATTGTATACAGAGATAGCACCAGTGGAAGGATGAATGAGAAAAGCATGTTGAAGGTTGCCCTCTGTGATGCTGTATGAGACAGCTGAATCTGCATCTTGTGCCGTGACCCGTACAACCTCCATCTCTCTGACAGGAGGGAAGATGATGGACGACTCGTACACCGGCGTAGCGAATTTGGGGGAACAGTCATTGAAATCCAGGACAAGGATGGTGACTCTGGCTGGCTCCGCTGCGTACAGCGACCGTTCCCCTGAGTCCCGTACCTGAATGCTGAAGCGAAACTCAGGTGTTTCTTCAAAGTCCACCTCAGATATCACAGAGATTGTACCCATGCTGGGATCTATCTTGAAGACTTTCATCGCTTCCGGTTCCAGGATTTGGAAGACTAGGAGAGAGTTAGAGTCCCTGTCGGCATCGGAGGCTCGTATCACCAGAGGTGTGTTGCTCTCCCCCATCACCATGCTGTTTATGTGAGCAGACTCACTAATCTGGCCATGGAATATCTCCTGGAGGAACACCGGAGGGTTATCATTCTCATCTATCACATAGACGTAAACAACCGTATCTGACGAGGCTCCTGCCGAGGTGCTGGCACGCACTTTGAGTCTGTACGAGAAACATTCCTCGAAGTTGAGGCTCGTTTGGACAGAGAGAACTCCGGAGTCTGCATTGATGTGGAAGGTTCCGTTAGGGTCTCCATCTTTGATGCTGTAGTGGACTGAAGATGGGCTGGCTGCAGAGACAGTGATCACGGGAGTTCCCAGAGGACTGGCTTCACTGACTTCTGAGAAGTACTCATCAGAGGGGAACCTGGGAGAGAGAAGATAGAATGGTTTTTATTAACAATTAGTAAAGCAGTACATAATATCAAGAGTAGCTGAAGTTGAATTATTTGATGCAATTTACAAATTAAAACCTTTAAGAACTATCAAACAACATAATACTAGTTTAAATACATATTAACCTGGGAGGGGTTCTGTCTGATAGCAGGACGGTGATGGAGACAGAACAGAGGTCGCTGTGCTGGGGGAAACCCTGGTCTGTGGCCTTCACTGTCAGATGAAACTGCTCCTGGGGTAGGTTGTCCAGAGGCTTGGCGACAGTGATACTCCCCAGCTCGCCATCGATGTCAAAGGTGTTGTCGACATTCCCTGTAAAGACGAACAATGACCAAATACAAATTAACAAATTATTTCACAAACAGATATTTTTGTGTATAGAATGTTTTATTGTCAACACATTTGCCTATATGTGAGTGTTCAACCAAGTAAAAATAATTATCAAAGAATGCTTTAAGAATAGAATGTACTTATAAAAGAATGCTAAAAATAGATAATCACACTTGAAGATTTTTCATAATTCAAATCCCTCATAATCTACCCTCATAATCTCAGATCTGTGTTGTACCTGAGTGAACGGAGTAGATAATCTGAGCGTTGCTCCCAACGTCCTTATCCAGAGCCTTGACACGCAGCACCTCTGTCCCAGCCGCAGCCTGATTGGTGATAGTGCCCTCATAGTCGGCTGCCATGAAGGCAGGAGAGTGGTCGTTGCAGTCCTCCACGTGAATCACTGCCTTCACAAAGTTTCTTTTCACTGGGATCTCCTGATCTCGAACCTGTGGAGTTCAAGGAGATGGTGAGAGCAGGACAGTGTAGGGACGATAACTTCATCCAACTCAAATTCCTAGATAACCAGAAGAAAAAAAAAAGGATTGCTATAATCTGACAGAGAGTACTTTGTGAAACGGTTATGATAGATACGCTGTACTTTAGGTCCTCATGTTGTCAATGTAAAGGGAGATGAAAAAGGAAACATCACTAAAAACATAAACAGCGTTACCATCACAGTGAGCGTGTGCACAGAAAGCTTCTCGTGGTCCAGCTGCTCAGTCATGACCAGAACACCACTCTTAGGGTCCAGATGGAAGTCCTTCAGGCTGTCTGGATGGACGCTGCTGTGGAGGGAGTAGATGAGTTTGCTGTTGCTGTCTCGGTCCTGAGCAGAGATTTGGAGGATGTCCTTCCATGGAGAGGTGTCTTCTGGCACTCTGACCTCGTAGATCGACTTCATGAACATGGGTCGATGCTCATTCATGTCCAGCACACGGATATATGCCTAGGAGAGAGACAGACAGACAGACAGACAGACAGACAGACAGACAGACAGACAGACAGACAGGAAGAGCAATTTAATCTAAAGTTTTACAATAACTACTAATTTACCATGTATTTCATATGTGCATCACCTGTGTGGTTGCGACCTGATGCCCGTCTGTAACCTGTACAGTCAGATTATAGTTGGACTTCTTCCCTGCATCCAGAGGCCTGGCGATCACGATGCTGCCTGTGTTCCTCTCAATGTCAAAGTCCTGCTCCTCATCGCCCCCTGGGAGAGAACAACACAGTAGATAGGAGATGGTGAAAATCAATCAATATCATTCAATCACCAGTGGCTTCCTTCTGGCCACTCTACCATAAAGGCCTGATTGTTGGATTGCTGCAGAGACGGTTGTCCTTCTGGAAGGTTCTCCCATCTCCACAGGAACTCTGGAGCTCTGTCAGAGTGACCATCGGGTTCTTGGCCTCAATGGAAGCCTTCACAGAGTCTCTCAGGTTGTTTGGCTTCGTAAGTGTCCGTCACTGAGACTGGCCCCACTGGCTTTATGGGAGGAGGGAGTGAGTGAGAGCCCATATGGAAGTTGTGACACACAGGTTCAGAACCATAATGACTTGGCTGTGGTTGGAGGATCATTCTTTCTACAGATGGACCTGTGAGCAGCTGTTTGGAGCGTCCACTGGAAATGGAGTTTGCCCAGTCAGGACAGGTGGAAAAGACAAGAACACCAACAAAACATCCCAAAACTACTGAGTGGGGTTAATACCTAATTTCACCCCTTAGAATGTTGGCCATCGCCCTGCAGGCGTGCGTGTGAATTACGGAACATGAGCTAAGAGGCCTCACTGAACATGGCCACAAACACGCGTACTGTATTGCACCCTCAACAGTTTAGAGGCATTACTCCCTGTGCATAATACGCCTCCTTTTACTGAGAGAATTTTTTTTACAATCTGCCAGTATGGGGCTCCCGAGTGGCGCAGCGGTCTAAGGCACTGCATCTCAGTGCTAGAGGCGTCACTACAGACCGAGTGGCGCGGTGGTCCAAGGCACTGCATCTCAGTGCTTGAGGCGTCACTACAGACACCCTGGTTCGATTCCAGGCTGTATCACAATCCGGCCGTGATTGGGAGTCCAATAGGGCGGCGCACAATTGGCCCAGCGTCGTCCGGGTTTGGCCGGGGTAGATAAGAAATAAATAAGAATTTGTTCTTAACTGACTTGCCTAGTTAAATTAAAAAAATTAAAAAACGAAACATCGTCATCCTCCCATGCTCAGCCACGTATGTATTAATGACAGAAAACAAGGTTGCAGCAAAAGGTTGCCCCCTGTGTCCAAGTGTACCAGAATAAGTGTAACACAATTGTTTAAGGGGGAACATTTGGCAGCGACATGCTTTGAACAGACGCCGAGAACAGTAGGGGTAAAGCTCATGCTTGTTTAGCCAGATGGTGTTTATTAAGAAATACATGCACCTTTTCAAGGCTCACACGACTCCATTTTAAACAAGCTTTTCCTTTTAATATCACCGGTGGGACAACATGAAAATATGACATAAAAAAAAAATGTCACTTCTCCCAACAAAATGTTCAGCATTATTGAATAATTAATCAAATGTTTAGATTTCTAGTTGGTGCTTTTGCAACGTAAAAAAAAAAACGCTGGTTGATGTTTATTGTCATGAGTCTTCCCACTGGGCACAGACGTCAATTCAATGTCTATTCCATGTTGGTTCAACGTAATTTCATTGAAATTATGTGTAAACAATGTTGATACAACCAGTGTGTGCCCAATGGGTTGTCCTGGAGGCAGAACTGAGCGATTTCCCCTTAGATAGGCCAGATGCAAAGTCAAAATTGGCTATATTGTCCAAACAATTGTTTTTTTGTCTTAATTTAAGGTCAGGGTTAGGCATAAGGGTTAGCAGTGTGATTAAGGTTAGGGTTAAGGTTAGGATTAGGTTTAAAATCAGATTTTATGAATTTGTTGCCAGCTAGTGACCGCTCTGTAAATCTGCCTTTAGAACAAGATTCATGATGAAAAACATTAACCTACAGGGAAGAAACCATCCAATGTATCCGATGCCCAGATTAAAAATATTGACAGAGGCTTTGAAAGAGACGGAGAATAAATAGATTGTTTGTTTCAATATATAATGTGTTGACCAGCTGAAGAGTAGAAAAGCAGCAATCGAAGAACAAGTCAAATGAAAAGCTGAAGATCTCAACACGATAGAATTGCATTGTCTGCCACATTTAGCCATCAAGTGCTTTTCGAGGCGCCATCTAAATTACCATGGTTGAGTGCATTCGGGAAGTATTCAGATCCCTTGACTTTTTCCACATTTTGTTACATTACAGCCTTATTCTAAAATGGATTCAATATCATTTGTTCTTCATCAATTTACACACAATACCCCATAATGACAAAGCAAAAACAGATTTTATATAGCAAATTAATAAATAACAAAAAACAAAACTGAAATATCACATTTACAGAAGTATTCAGACCCTTTACTCAGTACTTTGTTGAAGCACCTTTGGCAGCGATTACAGCCTCAAGTCTTCTTGGGTATGACGCTACAAACTTGGCATACCTGTATTTGGGGAGTTTCTCCCATTGTTCTCTGCAGATCCTCTCAAGCTCTGTCAGGTTGGATGGGGAGCGTCACTCCACAGCTATTTTCAGGTCTCTCCAGAGATGTTCGATCGGGTTCAAGTCCGGGCTCTGGCTGGGCCACTCAAGGACATCCAGAGACTTGTCCCGAAGCCACTCCTGCGTTGGATGTGTGCTTAGGGACGTTGTCCTGTTGGAAGGTGAACCTTCGCCCCAGTCTGAGGTCCTGAGCGCTCTGGAGCAGGTTTTCATCAAGGATCTCTCTGTACTTTGCTCCGTTCATCTTTCCCTCGATCCTGACTAGTCTCGCAGTCCCTGCCACTGAAAAACATCCCCACAGCATGATGCTGCCACCACCATGCTTCACCGTAGGGATGGTGCCAGGTTTCCTCCAGACGTGACGCTTGGCATTCAGGCCAAAGAGTTCAATCTTGGTTTCATCAGACCAGATTATTTCGTTTCTCATGGTCTGAGAGTCCTTTAGGTGCCTTTTGGCAAACTCCAAGCGGGCCGTCATGTGCCTTTTACTGAGGAGTGTCTTCCGTCTGGCACTCTACCATAAACGCCTGATTGGTGGAGTGCTGCAGAGATGGTTGTCCTTCTGGAAGGTTCTCCCATCTCCACAGAGGAACTCTGGAGCTCTGTCAGAGTGACCATCGGGTTCTTGGTCACCTCCCTAACCAAGGCCCTTCTCCCCCGATTGCTCAGTTTGGCTGGGCGGCCAGCTCTAGGAAGAGTCTTGGTGGTTCCAAACTTCTTCCATTTAAGAATGATGGAAGCCACTGTGTTCCTGGGGACCTTCAATACTGCAGAAATGTTTTGGTACCCTTCCCCAGATCTGTGCCTCGACACAATCCTGTCTCGGAGCTCTACGGACAATTCCTTCGACCTCATTACCTGGTTTTGGCTCTGACATGCACTGTCAACTGTGGGACCTTATATAGACAGGTGTGTGCCTTTCCAAATCATGTCCAATTAATTGAATTTACCACAGGTGGATTACAATCAAGTTGTAGAAACATCTCAAGGATGATCAATGGAAACAGGATGCACCTGAGCTCAATTTCGAGTCTCATAGCAAAGTGTCTGAATACTTATGTAAATAAGGTATTTCTGTTTTTATTTATTTATACATTTGCAAACATTTCTAAAAACCTGTTTTTGCTTTGTCATTATGAGGTATTGTGTATAGACTGATGAGAAACATGTTTTACTTTATCAATTTTAGAATAAGGCTTTAACGTAACAAAATGTGGAAAAAGTCAAGGGGTCTGAATACTTTCCAAATGCACTGCATGTCCCACCACAAAGCTTTGCTTTCATTGGAATATTTTCACAAACACATTTATGCAGCAGAAATGTTAATAATATAGTGTTATTTTAAAGTGCTACCGTACTTGATGTTTGGGATCAATCCTTCTTTTTTCCAAGTTAATCAAAGTTAATTTAATTGTGAAAGAGCTAGACTAATACTTTAGCAAAGTTTAGCAGCATGTTTTGACACAGGGCCATGTAAGGCAGATGACCCATCAGAGTTAGACTCTATCTGTCCTGTAGTGTCCTGGCCCTTCATCTGAGGAAATATGGCTCTGTTCTCCCCTTGCTGGGGTGTAGGGCACGCACACACACACACGCACACGCACGCACACGCACACGCACACGCACACGCACACACACACACACACACACACACACACACACACACACACACACACACACACACAAACGCACGCACACACACACACACACACACACACACACACTGGGCCCCTGCCTCTAGCTGAGGTGTTATCTGCCACACTGAGACCAGGCCTGCTGCTCTGTTCAACAGCAGAGTGACATGAACTCAATCTACTACCATCATAGTTTACATGGTGCAATCTTTTGACGGGTCATGTTTTGTCTTGCCTTTAAGGACATGCCGATAATGTGTGAAACGTTCACATATCATCTTAATTTTGACTCATCCCATAATAAAACAGCTACTTTCACGGTAACGTTACTCTAAGCCTTTACTGTGTCAACTAACATAACTATTGCTATAGCAACATCAAATTACACAAATCTGATCATATTTTCCAGGATGTTAGTTTCTATAAAATAGGCTGTAATTCTACACACTGAAAAACACTTAGCTGTACTTTGGTCCATATCATCTACACACAACATACAGCTCACGTCCACACATCAGAGTTAACGGTGTTAGTGCTGACCTGTGATGTCATACCACAGCAGCCTCTGTGTCTCTGTGAGGATGATCCCCACCATGTGAGTGACAGGATCCGTCTCCATGACAGCGAAGGTGAAGTGTGGCTCGTCAAACGTCAACGGCTCGGAGGTGGGCGTCGGCTTGGGGATCCACTCTACGTCGAGGCGGACTGTTGACGACCTCGCCGGGCTCCCGCGGTCCTCTGCTTTGATCTGACAGAGGGAAGGGATGGGGTGGAGAGGACATGCTAATGTTATTGAACTGGTGTGGATCTTTGCGTTACTCATCACAGTACATGAGAACATGACAGGGTTGGTGTTCATCACAATGGTGTTCACATGCAACTTCACATGCAAGTTTACACTCTCCCTGCATGTGAATGAGAGCCATGAAAGAAGACGTGGTTGTATTTGTTTAAGGATAGCAGGTGTCCTACAGAGTGCTCCACCACTGTGTGTGGTTGTGAAAAGCAGAAGGATCTGTGGAACATGTAACTATGTGGTTGTATTATGATCTATGGTCCACCTACCGTGAGGATGCTGTAGTTGCCTGCTGTGAAGTCCCTCCGTGCCGTCACCACCCCAGTGTCTGGATGGATCTCAAACCTCTCGTCCTGGTTGTCCTGGAGACTGAAGGTGACCTCAGCATTAGGCCCTTCATCGTCGTCCTGGGCAACCATCCGGCACACCTCCACCTGTGGCTCTGCCCCCTGACGCCTGTGTTGCTCAGGCAGTTTGACCTGGAAACAATCAATGAATCACCCAGTCACATTTATTTATAAAAGCCCTTTATTACATCAGCAGTGGTCAGAAAGTACTTTAATAGTAAGTGGGGCTGAATGGCATCCTAATCCCTAAATAGTGCACTACTTTTTATCAGATCCCTACACGGTCCTAGTAAGAAGTAGTGCACAATGGCTTTTGACCAATCAAGATCAGCTCTGAGAAAGATATGATGTGAAAAGATCTGATGTGATTGGTGAAAAAAATCAATTAGTGGAAAGAATATCAGAATTGGGCTGCCTGTATGAACGCAGACTATGTAGGGAATAGGGTGCCATTTGGGATGCTGACCCGAGACCCCAAAGAACCAGCAGAAGCAGACCTGGAAGAGCTTGTGGTTGAACTGGGGTCTGTTGTCATTCTCATCCAGCACCTGGATGATTACTGTAGAGGTGGAGTGGAGAGCAGGGGCTCCGTTGTCTGACACTATCACCTGAGAGGAGAAGAAGGGGAAGAGGGGTTAGTCCAGTCCTTCTCAAATAGTGGGGCACGCCCCCCTGGGGGGGGCTCGGAGCGATGCTGGGGGTGGGGGGCGCGTGTGACCCCGTGGAACATGCTTTTTTTTGCCGCAGGGAGTAGGTTTTTTTTGCACCGAACAAGAGCACACAGCACAGAGCAGGAGATATGAAGTGCAGATAACAAACCCTTAAGAGACACCATGGAAAAATATTTTACAGGGATGAAAAGAAAGAGAGACGGAGATAATGAGACAAACGTAAGTCTCCCGAAAGCTAAGACGAGGAAATATGACGAAGCGTATGTAGCGCTTGGCTTCACTGTGACTACAGTGGGAGACGAGGAAAGACCGGTATGTTTACTGTGTCTAGAAATGTTGGCAGCGGACAGCATGAAGCCAAATAAATTAAGGAGTCACTTAAAGACATTACAGCCCAATCACGCTGATAAGCCGCTTGAGTTTTTTTCAGCGAAAACGTGCCGAATATAGCCAACAATCGTCCCGCTTTGTGAATGCTACTTCAGTAAACCAGCGAGCACTGTTAGCATCATATAAGGTGGCGTACCGAATTGCTCAGTGCAGAAAACCCCACTCCATAGCAGAGGAGCTGATACTGCCTGCAGCATTAGACATGGTCTCTGTCATGCAGGATGACGCAAGTGCTGCAAAAATAAAGACTATCCCTCTGTCCAATGACACTGTCGCCAGACGTATAGATGACATTGATAACGATCTTAAAGAACAGCTGGTAGATAAACTCAAAGACAAACGTTTTGCCTTACAGTTCGATGAAGCAACTGACACAGCAACAAAGACTGTTTGTTTATCGCTTATGTACGTTTTGACATGACAAACTCCCCGTGTGAGGATCTACTTTTTTGTAAATATATCAGAGACAGAGCCACAGCTGAAGAGCTATTCAAAAAGCTGGACTGCTTCCTGACTGAGAATGGGCTAAAGTGGGAGAACTGCATTGGTGTTTGCAGTGATGGTGCACAGACCACGGCAGGGATGAGAAAAGGACTTCGGGCACTCATCAAGAAGGCCTCACCTAATGCTGAGTGGACACACTGTGTTATACACAGAGAAGCACTGGCATCAAGGCACCTTTCCTCTGAATTAAGTGAGGTTATGACTGACATTGTAGGTGTAGTCAATTTTATAAAGACCAGACCACTAAAAACAAGAGTCTTCTCTGCTATCTGTGAGGAGATGGGAGCTGAACATCAAGCTGTGCTGTTTCACAGTGAAGCAAGGTGGCTGTCACGAGGAAAAGTATTGTCCCGAGTTTTTGAGCTCAGAGAGCAGATAAGAATGTTTTCGGAGCAGGAGCACAAGAACGACCTCGCAGAAAAATTTTGTGATGAGAACTTCCTGGCAAAACTGGCCTACCTGAGTGACATATTTGGAAAGCTAAATGAACTAAATCTACAACTTCAAGGGAAAGATAAACACCTCCCTCAGGTCACAGACAAGATCAGCTCTTTCACTCGAAAGCTTGCAATGTGGGGCAGGCGACTTGATGATGGAAATATTGATTCATTCGAGAACCTGCATGAATTTGTTGACACTACTGACTATGATGCCACCTCAGTGATTCCATATATTAAGGAGCATATTTCATCACTGATGGGATTCTTTAAAAAGTACTTCCCTGAAAACAGTTCCCAATATGACTGGGTGAGAGATCCTTTCAATGCACCAGCTCCAACTGGTTTCAGCTCTGCAGAGGAGGACCAGTTCATTGATATGACGTCTGACTCCACATTGAGACTGAGGTTCACATCACAGACACTGAGTGAATTCTGGCTGAGTGTAGAGAGGCAGTATCCACTCTTAGGGCAGAGGGCCATGGGGCATTCTTCTTCCTTTTGCAACATCTTATCTTTGTGAGACTGGCTTCTCTGCTGTTGCTGCACTGAAGACCAAGTACAGGTCCCAGCTAAACATTGAGCAGGAGCTGAGAGTTGCAGTATCATGCTTCAAACCCCGCATCGAAAAGCTGTGCACTGCAAAACGTGCTCATTGTAGCCATTCATCCTGACTTCCTCATTTTGATTTTAAAAAATCAACACAAATTGTTTTATTCATTTTTGTTTTATAGGTCAAAGTGTTTCATATATTGTGCTCCTGAGTTCATGTTGCTGATCAATTTGAATGTATTATTATTTATTGATTATATTTCATTTTATTTTTCAGTATCAAATGGTCAAAAAATTTTTACAGTTTAAATAAGGCTGACATTTTTTTTTTTTTTCAGGCAAATTGATGCACTTTAAGTATTTTCTGTTACAGACTAAAAAACAATGTTAATAAAGTTATTATTTGTTGTAATAATTGAGAAGCACTGGGTTAGTCTAACAGTAGGATATGGAGGAAGAGGGGTTAGTCTAACAGCAGGATATGGAAGAAGAGGGGTTAGTCTAACAGCAGGATATGGAGGAAGAGGGGTTAGTCTAACAGCAGGATATGGAGGAAGAGGGGTTAGTCTAACAGCAGGATATGGAGGAAGAGGGGTTAGTCTAACAGCAGGATATGGAGGAAGAGGGGTTAGTCTAACAGCAGGATATGGAGGAAGAGGGGTTAGTCTAACAGCAGGATATGGAGGAAGAGGGGTTAGTCTAACAGCAGGATTTGGAGGATTGATTAAGACTTAAATTAATTTATAAAGTTGTATGTATCATAAGTCACATATATTTTGTGAACAATGTTCTTTATCAAGACCACACACATTATGGATCATTTATAGGCTAGTTTAAACTCTCATTATAGGCCTTTTAACGATCTCATAAAAAATGCACGTTGTTTAATAAAAAGCAGTTGTCTCAGTTTCTCACCTCGATACTGTGCTCAGACTTCTGTTCCCGGTCCAGAGAGCTCAGAGTGCTGATGACGCCTAAGAAAATAGAGAGAGAGGGGGGGGAGGGGGCAGAGAGGGGGGGGAGAGAGGTGGGGAGGGGCAGAGGGGGGGTAGGGGGGGGGGGGCAGAGAGGGATTTAATTGAATTGAGAGGGGGAGGATGGGAACGAAGGAGGAAGAAGGAACAGGGTCGTCAATATGGAGTCTTTCCCACATGGACAGCAGTAGCAGGTGTACCCTGTTACGTGAACTGAACTCTTGTTTTAAAAGGGTGAAACTATTCATTTTTAAATATTTTTTTCAAAAGAAACATTAAACATCTAAAAGTAAATTCATAGAGTAAAAGCAGGTGAGCTGGTTCTACTTTTTTTTTGGCCATTTCCTGGTGTTTTGTGGTGGAAAACTGAGCGGGTCGAGCATAACAAGTCAACTCTGTTACTCATGGATAGACAGGCTAGAAATGAAGCATGCATTCAATTGCCACTTCCTGTCACGCACAACATGATTTCATTCCCCCTGTCACAATGGGATTTATGGCTGATTTAAGAAAAAGTCATCAACCCTGTTACTTTCTTTGGCACTTAAAGGGGCAGTGCAGTCAAAAACATGATTTCCCAGTGTTTTATATACATTTCCACACTATGCGGTTGGAATAATACTGTGAAATTGTGAAAATGGTGATAAGAATGTTTAGTATAAGAGCTGTTTGAAATGACCGCCTGAAATTTCCACTTGTTTGCATGGGTACGCTTTTTGGATAAGTTAATAGACCAATAACAAAGAGAGTTTGCCCTCCTCTCTGCCAATAACAGCTAGTTTTCAGGTTACACATCCCTCCAATTAGGTCCCTCACTTAGACTACTCCCAGACAGTCCTAGCTAAACTCTTGCTTGAGAAATTGCTTTTTGCTAATAATCCATGGTCGAATTGCAGTAAAGAAACCACTACTAAAGGACACCAATGAGAAGAAGAGACTTGCTTGGGCCAAGAAACATGGGCAATGGACATTAGACCGTTGGAAATTTGTCCTTTGGTCTGGAGTCCAAATTGGAGATTTTTGGTTCCAACCGCTGTGGCTTTTTGAGACACGGTGTGGGTGAACAGATGATCTCTGCATGTATATTTCCCACCGTAAAGCATGGAGGAGGAGGTGTTATGGTGTGGGGGTGCTTTACTAGTGACACTGTCTGTGATTTATTTAGAATTCAAGACACACTTAACCAGCATGGCTACCACAGCATTCTGCAGCGATACGCCATCCCATCTGATTTCGGCTTATTGGGACTATAATTTGTTATTCAACAGGACAATGCCCCAACACACCTCCAGGCTGTGTAAGCGCTATTTTACCAAGAAGAAGAGTGATGGAGTGCTGCATCAGATGACCTGGCCTCCACAATCCCCCAATCTCAACCCAATTGAGATGGTTTGGAATGAATCGGACGACAGAGTGAAGGAAAAGCAGCCAACAAGTGCTCAGCATATGTGTGAACTCCTTCAAGACTGTTGGAAAAATATTCCAGGTGAAGCTGGTTGAGAGAATGCCAAGAGTGTGCAAAGCTGTCATCAAGGCAGAGGGTGGCTATTTGAATGATCTCAAATATAAAATATATTTGGACTTGTTTAACACTTTATTGGTTACTACATGATTGCATATGTGTTACTTCATAGTTTTGAGGTCTTCACTATTATTCTACAATGTAGAAAATAGTAAAAATAAAGAAAAACCCCTGAATGAGTATGTGTGTCCAAGCTTTTGACTGGTACTGTATATTTTAGCAATTACATTTACTTTTGATTTTTAAGTAAATTTAAAACCAAATACTTTTAGACTTTGACTCAAGTAGTATTTTACTAGGTGACTTTCAATTTTACTTGAGTCATTTTCTATTAAAGTATCTTTACTTTTACTCAAGTATGACAAATGGGTACTTTCTCCACCACTGCCTTTAATAGGCACTTACTATAGTCATTTTTTTTATAAACCTCTTGAGATAGGAAAACATGTTTTTTGAACATGTGCTCTTTATGACAGAATGTTAAAATGAGCTGAAATCAAATGTTTGTATTTACCAAGTTACGCTTCTCAAAAGGGCACTGAATTGGCGGAATGACCCAGCACACCTGTCAATGTCTGAGCCCCAGGCAGCTGGTTCACTCTTCTTCCTTCCCACAAGTCTGTTTTTCTAACAGTGTTTATTTGGCTTTATGGTCTTCACTTGAAGAAAACCTCTGAGAACCTTCCAGAGCCTGTTATTTTCATAAAATACTCAACGTTTTAGGACTGTGGATGCTTTACTACTATAATGTGTGTAGCAGGAGTTAGCCAATACAATCAATCAGGTTAGCATCTTTCGTCATGAATCTTGCCCTGGAGGCAGCTCTGCAGAGTGGTCACTAGCTAGCACAGCCACAAAGTCTGATTTTATACCTAACCCCAACCTTAACCCTAACCTTAACCACACTGCTAACCCTAATGCCTAACCCTAACCTTAAATTAAGACCAAAAAGTTAATTTAGACTTTGCAGCTGGTCCAAGGGGAAATTGCTCAGTTCTGCCTCCAGGACAAGTCTTATGACATTAAACACACCCTGCTACGATCTATCCACTGATTCGCTATCCACTACTGTAATGTCATTTGGTAAAGATTTCCCATGCTGCTTCTGTCCCTTTATCAGGCCAATTCTCCTGCCAAATTAAAGCGTTTAAGAGATCAGAAAACCTGTTTTAGCTGTTTGTGTTGAAATCTGGGTGAGGCTGTCTGGATCACAACCTGCGTTGATATCAGGGTAGTGGCATACAGACTAAACATGCCTGAGAAACGTTAGTTCAGTTAGTTCAGTTAGTTCAGATAGTTCAGTTAGTTCAGATAGTTCAGATAGTTCAGTTAGTTCAGTTAGTTCAGTTAGTTCAGTTAGTTCAGTTAGTTAAGTTAGTTCAGATAGTTCAGTTAGTTCAGTTAGTTCAGTTAGTTCAGATAGTTCAGATAGTTCAGTTAGTTCAGTTAGTTCAGTTAGTTCAGTTAGTTCAGTTAGTTCAGATAGTTCAGTTAGTTCAGTTAGTTCAGTTAGTTCAGATAGTTCAGTTAGTTCAGTTAGTTCAGTTAGTTCAGTTAGTTCAGTTAGTTCACCACCCGACTGCCCCAAGTGACACCTCAGGGACTGATTACCATGTGAGGGTGTGTGTGTGTGTGTGTGTGTGTGTGTGTGTGTGTGTGTGTGTTGTGAAATGTGTCAATTACCTGTCTTGGGGTTGATGGTGAAATACATCCGCTGTGACTCCAACAGCTGGAAGGTGAGTTTCCCCTCCGAGGAGCTGTCCACATCAGTAGCAGTGACCTGAAGCACTGACTTGTCATTAGGCATGTTTTCCAGGACGGAGCCGAAGTAGACCGGCTGGGACAGCTGGGGAGGGTTATCGTTGATGTCCAGGACTTCCAGAAATACGTCTGTCCAGGTCACCAGAGGGATGGTGCCCAGGTCTTTGGCATAGACCGACAGCCAGTAGTGTGGGACGGCCTCGCGGTCCAACGTCTCAGCCGTGCGGATCACCCCTGCAAAACAGAAGGAGAAATCGTTTATAATGTCATCCATCTTGTATTTGCATTTTTTTGCTGACAGGTGTGGTGATGAACAACTTTGTTAAATCATCTAGGTTTACCCAGAAGTTGTTATTTGGTTCAACTGGAGGATACGCTATCAAATGTAAACGATTATAAGTAGGAGTAATATTCTGAAAGCGAGGCCTGGTGCATCAGTGCAGGGTTTCAGCACTACAATGACAGAGCATTTTTCCAACAGGATTGACGCATGCTAATGGAATGTGATACTTTGTGAGGTCACAGGCTATCAGCTGTAAAGTGTCCATTATGTAGGAACATAGACAGGTCCCAAGAAGCCTCAGATTATTTTAACATTGCACATCCCATTTTCCATTTTTCAACACACCATTTTTACCACAGTCTTTATCAACTGTCATTCCTCTTCTCATCTACTGTAACAGCAATATATTCATGCTAAAGAAAATTGTATCAAATAGTGAAGTTTCTACTATTATCACACACACACACACATATTTACCTGTTTCCTCATCGATCATGAAAACTCCCAGGCCAGATCCATCGTGGATGTGGTACCTGACGACTCCGTCTCTCCCCAGATCCCTGTCTGCTGCTGTCAGCGTCAACACTGAGGTTCCCACATGTGCGTCCTCCATCACCGAGGCCTCATAGACAAACATGGAGAAGACTGGCCTATTCAGGTTCTCATTCACATCCAGGACCTCCACCTCGATGAAGCAGGAGGAGGACAGTGACCGAGGAAGGCCATGGTCAACCGCTCGAACCGTCAGGTTGTAAGACTGTCTCCTCTCGAAGTCCAGTTCCTTCTCAAGGGTTAGAGATCCCGTCGACGCGTCCAGAAAAAAGGCCCCGTTCTCACTGTTCTTCAGGTTGTAGCTGATCTGTCCACCGCTGCCCAGGTCTAAGTCGTAGCTCTCGACCCACAGTAGCACCGTCCCCAAGGGAACGTCCTCAGGGACTTTGATGTTGTAGATCTTGGGGACGAACTTGGGAGGATTGTCGTTGATGTCCTCCAACACGACCACAAGATCGGTCATGGAGAAGAGCTGTGGGTCTGTTTTAGACTGATCTATAGCCTCTATCTTCAGGTCATGTCTGGGAAAGGACTCTCTGTCTAAACGACCAGACACCTTCACTTCTCCAGTGAGTTCATTGATCTTGAAAAGACTGGTTAGAGTTAGCATCGAATATAAGATGTTTCCATTGCCCTCAGAGTCTAAATCTGTTGCGTGCACTTGGAATATCCTCGTGTCAACCTCTGTGTTCTCTGGGATGTGCACGACATACCTGGATTGGTCGAATACTGGTCGGTTGTCGTTAACATCCAATAGATTCACGGCGAGAAATTTCCATGCTGAGGTTTGTGGGCTTCCTAAGTCATAGACAGTTACATTCAAAATGTAGAACTCTTTGGTTTCTCGGTCTAAAGGACACACAAGCTGAAGCTCCCCAGAGAAAATACCAATGGAGAAACACCCGTCTTCATTTCCACTTGAGATGGCGTACACAAGCTTGCTGTTGAATCCGGTGTCATTATCCGTAGCCTTGAAGTGAAGGATAGTTGAATTCAAAGGGAAGTCCTCTCTGATGTCAATAGTACTTGGGATGCCAGAGTTGAACTTAGGAGAGTGGCGGTTGATGATATAAACGTCCGAGAAAGATTCCTCATCCTGGATAGTCAACACTGGCTTTATGGATTCTATCAGTTTGTCTGTAAGCTGTTTGAAAATCCCAGTCTCCTGACAACTGACGGTGGCTTCAGTGCCCTGTTTGACAACAGTAACAGTAACAACAGAGGGATCAGAGGTATGTTTACCATCTGTTGCTGTGATTCTGAGTCTGAACGAAGGTAATTCAGTCTTTATCGAAGCTGTGGGTATCTGTTTGATCAGTTTAATGACTCCTGATGCAGCGTCGATGTCAAACAGTTTTTGGTCATTCCCTGACTCGATCACATATCTGAGCTGTTGTAGTTCGTCCAGGTCAACAGCAGACAGCCCTGCAATTGGCTCTCTCACCGCTAAATCTACAGGTATGGTGGCGTTGCATCCCACCTGCTCAAACAGAGGGGCGTTATCGTTGACGTTGCTCATGGTGATCGTCACAGCGCACTCAGAAACATGACTGAAGGGACTGCCGCTGTCCGAAGCCCACACTCTGAGATGATACCACCTCTTCATCAACTCGTAGTCCAGATCCTCAGATGTAGAGATCACTCCACTGATTGGGTCTATTGTGAATGGGGAAGTAGCTGAGTTGACTATGGCATAGGTCACGAAACCATTTCGGCCCCTGTCCTCGTCTATTGCAGAGACTGTTAGAACGCTGCTGCCGATAGGTGCATTCTCTGGTAGTGTGGCTTGGTATGAGGGTTTGGTGAATTTGGGGGCGTTGTCATTTTCGTCAGTTATCTCAACGACTATGTGAGTCTCGGCTTCGCCGTGATTCGCTAACACATCAAATTCATAACGAGACTTTTTCTCAAAGTCAAAAGTCTCAGAGGTAACGATTATGCCTGTTTTGGGGTTCATCTTAAATTTGGGGCTATCAGAGTTACTTTTAATGTGGTATGTAACATTCAGATGTGCTGGACTCACACTAACTCTGACCACATGTGTTGTTGGTGGTGAAAACTCACTTAGTGTGATAATGTACGTGTCTTCCAGAAAGCTAAACAGGATTTGTTTATAGGGAGGGATGTGGATTTCTGAAACTGGAGAAACTAAAGGTGGACCGCTCTTGTCTTTAGCTTGAAGGGAGAGGTTAAATCCAGATGGGCTCTGTGACCAGTTTATCCTCTTGGTGGAGACCACTTGGAAACCATCGCCTTGCAGGCTGGATGGGATAATCTCAAAATACCTCTGTGGATCCCCACCAACAATACTAACGGACTCAACTGGCTTTACACCCGACTCTACATGGACATCGATAGTTATCTTCTCGTCTTCGTCCTTCTGAGCTAGGACAACCGGGAGAGGTTTGACGATGGGGGCGGTCGAGGAGACCTTTTCTATGGTCACTGTAACCCTGGCCACATTGCCAAACTTCTGAACACCAGATATCTTCTTGGTCCTGTCCTCAGCTAATACAGTGAGATCGTACGTGTCCGCTCGGCTGTGGTTCAGTCTCTTGACGAGGCTGATGGCGCCTGTGAAAGGATCAACGGCGAACGGATGGGCTCTACTCGTGAAGGAGTAATAGAACTCAGCGTTGCCGCCAATATCCGCGTCCGTCGCACTGACCCTGACCACACTGAACTTCAACGGTGCGTCTTCCCCGATGACCACGTTGTACGAGGCTGGGTAGAAGAGCGGTTTCAGATCGTTGGTGTCAAGCACCTGAATCGATACTTTGGTCCTGGCCTGGAAGTCGTAAGTGATTTCAGTGGCTTCAATGGTGAGAGTATAACTATCTCTTACTTCCCTGTTTAGCGATGCAGAATTACTGCTTCGTGTTTTGATTCGCAGAATGCAGAAATCCCCTACTCTGACTTCCTCCACTTTGAATAGGCTGCCGTCGTCTCCAGAGACGAGTTTGAACTTGATGTCCCAGAAAGGATCGGTTACTACGATACCCATCTTGATGGGACTGTCCACAGCAGTCCTGGGGGCTGAGTTCTCATTAATGGTGGCATTGTAGAGATGATAGGTGAACCTCATGGGAGAGCTGTCCTTTCCAAGCTCCTTTCCCAAGCTCCATTTAGTCGGTATTTTGTGGTACTCGTTACTTGCTACTAGGTTTAGTAAGACTGCTACCACTAAGAGCAGTGTACTTGTGTCTGTTGAAACCATCTTCACTGTCATCACCAGGATCCTCAGCTCTGAGGGAGAGAGAGAGAGAGAGAGAGAGAGAGAGAGAGAGAGAGAGAGAGAGAGAGAGAGAGAGAGAGAGAGAGAGAGAGAGAGAGAGAGAGAGAGGGACAGTTACATTTTTGTTCACATGGCGGGGAAAAATATAATTTACATCTTCATTTTAGAGTTCAATACTGTACGAAACTCACGTACAAGTCCATACAAAATACAGCTCTTTGACCAGATTGTGAACATATCACTCATTTCCTTAGTGCCTGCTCCTGTCTGAGCAGTACAATGTGAGAGTAATGACCCAATGACACAACACCACGGTGAAAGCCTGCTGTGAGGTATTTGTCTCCTGTTCTAACATGCCTTGACCAAAGCAAAGCAACACATTGTTTGAAGACAAGAAACAGCCTCAGAGCAGCATTAGACAGGTGGTGCCTTTCCCCCATGTCAATACTCCTTTCTCTTGAGTGCAACAACTGATAATCAAATCATCATTATAAAGCCTTTGTCAGCATGTGTTAATAAAAAAATGATTTGTTGTGTGATGACAGGAATAAAACAGGATTTGGTGGTTTGTTACCTCCTTTCTCCAAACGTAAATACTGCGTCTGTGTTCTGAGCTGTCTTCTGTTCAGCGCAGGTTGTTCAGACATAATTTTTTAAAACTCCTAAATGTAAATGCATTTAAAGCTCAACAATTCATAAGACTGAACGGACAGTACGGAAACTTTTCTCTACTGCATAACAATAATTTATACATTTTGCCACTGGCAATGCACAAACAATACTTAAAAAAACATAAACAATATAATTATAGAGATAAACTCAAAATACAGTGGGGAAAAAAAGTATTTAGTCAGCCACCAATTGTGCAAGTTCTCCCACTTAAAAAGATGAGAGAGGCCTGTAATTTTCATCATAGGTACACGTCAACTATGACAGGCAAATTGAGAAAAAAAAATCCTGAAAATCACATTGTAGGATTTTTAATGAATTTATTTGCAAATTATGGTGGAAAATAAGTATTTGGTCACCTACAAACAAGCAAGATTTCTGGCTCTCACAGACCTTTAACTTCTTCTTTAAGAGGCTCCTCTGTCCTCCACTCGTTACCTGTATTAATGGCACCTGTTTGAACTTGTTATCAGTATAAAAGACACCTGTCCACAACCTCAAACAGTCACACTCCAAACTCCACTATGGCCAAGACCAAAGAGCTGTCAAAGGACACCAGAAACAAAATTGTAGACCTGCACCAGGCTGGGAAGACTGAATCTGCAATAGGTAAGCAGCTTGGTTTGAAGAAATCAACTGTGGGAGCAATTATTAGGAAATGGAAGACATACAAGACCACTGATAATCTCCCTCGATCTGGGGCTCCACGCAAGATCTCACCCCGTGGGGTCAAAATGATCACAAGAACGGTGAGCAAAAATCCCAGAACCACACGGGGGGACCTAGTGAATGACCTGCAGAGAGCTGGGACCAAAGTAATAAAGCCTACCATCTGTAACACACTACGCCGCCAGGGACTCAAATCCTGCAGTGCCAGACGTGTCCCCCTGCTTAAGCCAGTACATGTCCAGGCCCGTCTGAAGTTTGCTAGAGTGCATTTGGATGATCCAGTAGAGGATTGGGAGAATGTCATATGGTCAGATGAAACCAAAATATAACTTTTTGGTAAAAACTCAACTTGTCGTTTTTGGAGGACAAAGAATGCTGAGTTGCATCCAAATAACACCATACCTACTGTGAAGCATGGGGGTGGAAACATCATGCTTTGGGGCTGTTTTTCTGCAAAGGGACCAGGACGACTGATCCGTGTAAAGGAAAGAATGAATGGGGCCATGTATCGTGAGATTTTGAGTGAAAACCTCCTTCCATCAGCAAGGGCATTGAAGATGAAACGTGGCTGGGTCTTTCAGCATGACAATGATCCCAAACACACCGCCCGGGCAACGAAGGAGTGGCTTCGTAAGAAGCATTTCAAGGTCCTGGAGTGGCCTAGCCAGTCTCCAGATCTCAACCCCATAGAAAATCTTTGGAGGGAGTTGAAAGTCCGTGTTGCCCAGCGACAGCCCCAAAACATCATTGCTCTAGAGGAGATCTGCATGGAGGAATGGGCCAAAATACCAGCAACAGTGTGTGAAAACCTTGTGAAGACTTACAGAAAACGTTTGACCTGTGTCATTGCCAACAAAGGGTATATAACAAAATATTGAGAAACTTTTGTTATTGACCAAATACTTGCAAATAAATTCATAAAAATCCTACAATGTGATTTTCTGGATTTTTTTCCCTCATTTTGTCTGTCATAGTTGACGTGTACCTATGATGAAAATTACAGGCCTCTCTCATCTTTTTAAGTGGGAGAACTTGCACAATTGGTGGCTGACTAAATACTTTTTTTCCCCACTGTACCAACATGTGAGAAATACTGTACTATATTAATGTTTCAATGGAACCAACCAAAATCATACAATTTTTTTATACAAAATAAATGTCACCAAAATCAAGGTTTCATAATTATTGGCACTCCTCATTTAGTACTTAGTGCAACCACCTCTGGCAGGGATAACAGCATGGAATCTTTTCCTGTAATATTTGACAAGGTTAAGGAACACATTTGGAGGGATTTTGGACCATTCCTCTATGCAGATCCTTTCAAGATCCTTCACATATCTTGGGTTGGCGCTTATCAACTGCCCTCTTCAACTCAGCCCACAGATTTTCGATTGGATTGAGGTCCGGCGACTGAGATGGCCATGGCAGAACATTGATTTTGTAGTCACAGAACCATTTCTGTGTGGATCTTGAGGTATGTTTTGGGTCATTGTCTTGTTGGAAAGTCCACCTACGGCCAAGTCCCAGCCTTCTGGCAGAGGCAACCAGATTGTCAGCCAAAATTGCCTGATACTTGGTGGAATTCATTATGCCATCAATCTTAACCAGTGCCCCTGGACCTCTGGAATTAAAACAGCCCCAAAACATAACTGACCCACCACCATATTTCACCGTGGGTATGAGGTGCCTCTCTTTGTATGCATCTCTGTTTTGACGCCAAACATGCCGATGCTGTATCTGACCAAATCGTTCAATTTTGGTCTCATCTGACCAGAGCACCTTCTTCCAGTCATAATTTAAATGACGTTTGGCAAACTCCAAGCGCTTGCGTCTGTGTCTTGGGGTCAGAAAGGGCTTTCTTCTGGCAACCCTTCCAAAGAGCCTGTGGTTGTGGAGGTGGCGTCTGATGGTGCTTTTTGAAACCTGGTGACCCCAAGACACCACCAAGGCCTGCAATTCTTTCACAGTGATTCTTGGGGATTTTGTTGCTTCTCTCACCATCCTCCTCCCTATCCTGGGGGGGCAAAATGCATTTGCGTCCTCTACCTGAGAGGTTTCCAACTGTTCCATATCTTTTACATTTTTTAAATAATTGCCCTGACAGTGCTCAGTGGTATATTCAATCGTTTGTGGATCTTCTTGTAGCCATTACCAGATTTATGAAGGTCTACAATCATCTATCTCTTTTGAACTGCCAGTTCTTTTGTTTTCTTCATGGTGTTGGATGACAAAGGGATATTGCATGCGTGTTACCTCATTTTTATACCCTGGTGAAACAGGAGGTGATGTAATGGCTCAATATAGTTCCTTAAGACTTAGATAAACTTAAATAAGTGGAATTTAATTCCTGGTTTAAATTTGGTAGATGTTATTTACAATAATCTTTAAGGGTGCCATTAATTGTGAAACCTTGATTTGGAGGACATTGATTTTTAATTAAATCAATAAATGATTTTGGTGGGTTCCATTGGAACATTAATATAGTACAGTATTTCTCACATGTTGGTATTTTGAGTTTATCTCTATAATTATATTGTTTATGTTTTTTTAAAGTATTGTTTGTGCATTGCCAGTCAGGGGTGCCAGTCATTTTGGAGCCCACTGTACATGAAATACTTGTGACTCTGTTACTGTAGCAACAAACAAATGACTGTTTAGTGTGTCAACAGTAGTACAAAGTGATTGATTGTTTTTATCCATAGAATCATACTAGCTTTACAGACGATTATAAATGATGATTTCACTAATCCAATGTGTTTATACGAGTGATCCCTTCAGCCATCTCTCATAACAACTGCTAAAGACTGAGATTCAGACTGGTGCTTGAGTGTCCAGTGGGGTGGTGCCAGCCAGAGTCCGGTAGGTGTGTTTCACCTCGACTAGGCGACGTCATAATGTAATATACCGTTTAGCAGACACACTTATCCAAACTTACAGTCATACATGCATACATTTTACATGTGGGTGGTCCTGGAAATCCAACCCACTACCCTGGCGTTACAAAGCACCATGCTCTGCCAACTCACTACAATAGTGATGTAGTTTGGGGTCAGTGTTTGGCTTTAAACAGGGATTAAGTCCTGTCATGTTATCTCTTTAAATTTTACGCCATATCAATTTACATTCTTCAGATCATTCTACTTGAACCTAGTCCTTTACATGAACATGGGATGCGTCCCAAATGACACCCTATTCCCTATATAGTGCACTCTGGTCAAAAGTAGTGCACTATATATTTTTTTATTTTACCTTTATTTAACTAGGCAAGTCAGTTAAGAACAAATTCTTATTTACAATGACGGCCTACACCGGCCAAACCCGGACGACGCTGGGCCAATTGTGCGCCGCCCTATGGGACTCCCAATCACGGCCGGTTGTGATACAGCCTGGAATCGAACCAGGGGGTCTGTAGTGACGCCTCAAGCACTGAGATGCAGTGCCTTAGACCGCTGCGCCACTCGGGAGCCATTTGGGACGCAGTTCATGGACATGGCGCTAAACAATTTCATTTCCAGATGTTGGGGTTAAAAGGAAATGATTGTCTGGCTGGCAGTGCAGTGCTGCTGGTAAGGTAAGATCCTCAGGCAGTCAGTGATTACTGAGGTCTGTCTGCTGTCAGCGGTCGGATGTTCTCCTGTTCATGTTCCTGTGTGTCCCTGCATGTCCTCCTCCTGTGTGTGTGTGTGTGTGTGTGTGTGTGTGTGTGTGTGTGTGTGTGTGTGTGTGTGTGTGTGTCTGTGTGTGTCTGTGTGTGTGTGTCTGTGTGTGTGTGTCTGTGTGTGTGTGTCTGTGTGTGTGTGTCTGTGTGTGTCTGTGTGTGTGTGTGTCTGTGTGTGTGTGTCTGTGTGTGTGTCTGTGTGTGTGTCTGTGTGTGTGTGTCTGTGTGTGTGTGTGTGTGTGTGTGTGTCTGTGTGTGTCTGTGTGTGTGTGTCTGTGTGTGTGTCTGTGTGTGTGTGTGTCTGTGTGTGTGTGTGTGTGTGTGTGTGTGTGTGTGTGTGTGTGTGTGTGTGTGTGTGTGTGTGTGTGTGTGTGTGTGTGTGTGTGTGTGTGTATGTGTGTGTGTGTGTGTGTGTGTGTGTGTGTGTGTGTGTGTGTGTGCGTGTGTGTCTGTCTGTGTGTGTGTGTGTGTGTGTGTGTGTGTTCCTGCCTGTCCTCCTCCTCCTCATTCTAACCCCCACAGTCACGACCTGTAGGTACACGCTCAGCCATGCTGCTCAGAACAGATCACATTTCAACATCACCCCCATGCTATTGTACCTGTAAAGGTATTTATTTGGGGAAAAGTTGGCTGTGTTTTTGAGTGATGATT